CTCAATTTGAAAAATGTTACCAAACATGGTTTTTCTCTAATAAGTTCTCTCATATAAGCTTCTGACCTATATGCATATTTGAGAATTTTTGTTTTTATGAAAAGCTAAATCTGTTTCAAATTTAGGTTAGAAGAAGAAGAAAAGTTTTTAAATGCTGAAAGTTACTACAAGAAAGCTTTGGCTTTGGATGAGACTTTTAAAGATGCAGAGGATGCTTTGCAGAAGCTTCATAAATATATGCAGGTGATTCTTTATTTCCTCTTAGAAATTTAGTGATAGTTGAAATTGATGCCAAAACTTAACTTTCTTATAGGAAATACTATTCTAGATTACTTAGTCAAGGCATTATGAAAAGTGTCTTTTTAGATACAACTTTTCCAGATTGGGTTTGACATTACTTCATAGTGCCTTTTCTTTTTTGTTAGTACTCAAAAGTAAAAATAGTCCTATGAGAAAATTCCTACTGCCTACATGTGGTATGTGGTTTTGAGAACTGTCCTTATAGTAAGCTTTCCTGGTGGTTACAAATGCAGTGTTGTTGCTGTGATTGAGCTAATTATAAAAACCTCTTTGAGAAATAATTTTAAATTGCCTTTTCCTGTAATACTGATGATGATGTTTTCTCATGCATTTTCTTCTGAATTGGACCATTGCTGCTGTGTCTGTGACATCTGGTGCTGCTCATCCCCATCCTCAAACTGGAAAATGATTTCTTACGTAATCACGCGTCCAACTGGGTTGTGCTATTTTTTAAATGGTTTGTATTTGAACATGGTGATTCCTCCCCCAATTCACCTTAATGGAATTTATTTGAATTTTATTTATAAAATTTGTGTCCTGTCTAAATTTTTCAATTTTTTTAAAAATAATTTTTCATGTATTTTATTTTTTTCTTTTCTTGCACTCTGGGTCATGGGTACCAATGCAATGGCTTCCCCTTTTTTCATGGAATAACAACTGCAATATGGTCCTCAATGCTGTTCTGGCTATTCCAATGATTAATGCCAAACACTTGTATGATTAATTTTTTACATGTTAAAAATACTTAATGCTGGATATATGGTGATTTGTGTATACCCCATTTGGTTTCTGGTGGGTGGGGGGTGGTCTTTTGAAAACTGGGTTTTATATATTCTGCTGTTTTTAACGTGTGGTTTTTTCCGATATCTGGGTTCTAAAAGAAATCTTTGGAATTAAGAGAAAAACAAGCTGAAAAGGAAGAAAAGCAGAAAACAAAGAAAATAGAAACAAGTGCAGAAAAGTTGCGTAAGCTCTTAAAAGAGGAGAAAAGGTAAACTATAATATTCAGTATTTTTTAACTTAAAGCAACTACTGACTTGAACCAAAGTGCCATATGGAGGTTAAAGTAAGTAAAAAAAAAAAAAAAGTATTGAATCATAATCAGTGATACTTTGTAAGTATGTGTACCACACATTTTTCTGTAAAAGAAATTAAGTGGAATCTAAAGGTAGAGTTCTGCAAGAAAAAAGAAAAATCTTTATATAATAAATTGTTTTAATTATCTGTATTTTAGGGAGAAATGTTTTAGAACCAGAGGAGTGGTTCTCACCTGGGGATGGCTTTGTCCCCCCAGGGACATTTTTGGTCATCATAACTGGTGGAATGGTACTAACACCTAGTGGGTAGAGGTCAGGGGTGCTGCTTAACATCCTACAGTGATACCCCAACCCCCACTGTCACCCTTCCTAACCAACAAAGAATTATTCAGGTGAGAATGTCAATAGTGCTGAGGTAGAGAAACTATGTATTAGAGGTAGCCAGATCCAAAACTTCATTTCTTTCCTTTATGTATTCACATAGACTTAAATTTTTTAGACAGTGTTGGAAATGTGACTGTGTCTTCAGAAATAATGGATTTGCTTTCAATGACAATTGTCTACACAGTGTTTTTTCCCCAAAAGTCATGCCTGGTAGTAAAATTGGATATTGTAGTAACTGATGTTATTATAGTAATTGCTCATCTAAAGCCACAGCTTTTATGAAACCTTTAAAGAGAACAAAGTAGGACTAGAATCTTTATGGATAATCAAGAAACATTTTTGTACTTAACATATTTGATGGGTTAACGATATTTTTTAGGCTAAAGAAGAAAAGAAGAAAATCAACTTCTTCCTCTTCAAGTGTTTCTTCTGCTGATGAATCTGATTCTTCATCATCATCCTCTTCCTCTTCCAGTCACAAAAGGCATAAGAAACATAAGAGGAACCGTTCAGAGTCTTCTCGAAGTTCCAAAAAGCATTTAGCTAAGGCCTCCTCAAGTCAGATAGATCAGAATAGGAAAGATGAGTACTTCCCAGTTCCAACCAATACTTTAGCATCTTTTCTTAACCAAAAACAAGAAGTGGAAAAACTACTGGAAAAGCAGGACAGGTTACCATATCAAAAGAAACAGGTAAAAGAGAAAGATAGATGCCCTCTCTCTTCATCTTCAGTTGAAATTCCGGATGATTTTGGAGGTAGGTCTGAAGATCCAAGAGATTTTTATACTCAGGCAAGTAGTAGCAAAACAGAAAAACCATATAAATCAGAAAAACATTTTTCCAGTAGAAGAGATTCCTCAGATTCCTCTTATAGGAATTCAGAGGACAAAGTGAAAACTTACAGTTATAGAAGATTTGAAAAAGATACTGAGGGAAGAAAAGAGCACTATAGAAGGTGGGAGCCAGGTTCCATGAGGCATTCCACTTCACCAGCAAGCTCAGACTACTCATGTAAGTCAGTTGAAAAATATAAAAAATACACTTATTCAGGATCACGTGATTTTAGTAGACATGAGCAAAGATATCCATTAAATAAAAATCAAGGAGAATATGAAATAGAGGATAATTATGAAGAGGATATTAAAACAGAGGTTCCAGAGGCAGATGGCCTGAATAGCAAAGAGCAGTCAGAAAGTGGAGTTAAAAAAAATTTACCTCAGAATTTACTCAATATATTTAATCAGATAGCTGCATTTGAGAAAGAAAAAGGAAATAAGCCAAAAAAATAATATGCCAGGGGATTTAGCACCGTTACACAAAAGGCTGTTAATGAAAGTTTTGGGTCTTCTAGTCCAGAAGAATCACTACTCCTAAAGCTATTTTATTTGTAGAGATTGCAGAAAGCAGATGCATTTTAGCTATTCTCAAAGTAGATTTGTTTCAGTTGTAGGTCTCCTCACAGCTTGATTTATTAGGCTTTTCATGTGTATGTTTCTGTATAGTATTTCTTACTGTGATGATTTAAACTTCACCTAAAGATAATTCCCAAAAGTATTGCTTCCTCATGGTATTATAGTATATAAGAATTTCTTGGGTCCACCTTATCCTGCTGCTTGAGAGAAAATTAAATTTGTTCATTGAACACTTGGATTGTTTTCTTCAAAAATTATTTCATTGTCTTTCCTGTTAAATTCTTTCTTTTCCCTCAGCTTTTGAAAGAGATACATAGTATTTGATTGTTCCTTAAGTACCGTTTTATATTGATCTAAATACCACATTTTTTGTATAACTTCTAAGATTATATACAGATGATCTGTCTTGCCTAATTGACCTCTAAAGTTTGATTTAATTAAAAATGGTTTGTGTGCCAGCTTAACAAGTACCTTAGGAATAAAGCCATGAAAGTTGAAAATAGGGGCCCATTTTGCTTCTTTCTTTTTTTTTTTTTTTTAACCTTATTGTTAGCAGTATAGCCCTAAGAAATTTCTTAACCTTAAACATTGGCAAGACCCTTAGAGACCACATACCAGGCAAGAATAGATCAGAATAAAAAGAATCCTTTTAGCAAAAACAGCAGTGGCAAGAGAAACACACTCTAAATCTGGTTTTCCCCTAAGGGAAAGAAAATTGGGAAACTGTCCCAGTATTGCATATGTCCAGTTGGGAAGGCACTGGGCATGTTTTAATTCGCCTAGAGCTGGCCTGCATTTCCTCTTAATACCTCTCTCCTGACACTTCCCTTGATGCCTCCTTTCTTAGGGTCTGAATAAATGACAAGGCCACCAAAGCCTGGTTTTACTCAATAAATTCCAGCAACTAGAGCTGAAGAAGTGACTTAGATCATAAAAATCCTTCCAAATTTGAAAACAGAGATTTGGAGATAGAGATGGTAGTCATGGTTGTTGATTTATAACGGTCTTTAGAATCTTTCCAATTTCAGATTCTAGACACTGTTAAGTGACAACAGGCCTTTAATGCTACATCTCTCTAAATCATTCTAACTGGGTATGTCCTGTTTGTGGCCTTCAGACTTTAGCATTGGGAGCCTAGTGAAAAAGCTTAAGTTTGCTTTACAGTGAAACAGAGAAAGAAACTGGTCAAAAACCATGGCTAATAGCAGTAGAAAGATCACTCAGGTCATTCATCTTTGTACCAAGAAACTCATCTTAAAAGAGTCCCTGGTTCTTTCTATGTATTAATAGCTCCCTGTATCATCCCTACATAGTCCTACATAGTGGTTTTTGTAAAGAGTGAACAGTATCTCGACATGGTCTTTGATCTTTAGGAATTGCCAGTACATCTTCAGTATTTTATGTACACCATTTACTAAAAAATCTCTGAGCATCACTATCAACCAGAACTATAATTTTCCAAGGTGTCTTTGTGGCTTAATGTTACATTCAGGTACAAGAAAATTAGGATAGTACCTTATATAGGCTTGCCTGAATTTATGAATTCCATCTTCCCCAGAGTTTCTTTCCTGGGACATATTAAACTTAAGCAGAGTCTACAAGCCAGTTTCTAAGGATGTGTTCAGGAAACCCGTCACAGCAAAAGAATATTGGGGACTGGCTTACCAAGAATTGTTAGTAATTATCTTTAGCAGTTTTTTCCTTATCATTATGTCTATACTTTGTACACACCCAGACTGTGTCTTGATTTCCATAAATAACTTTCTAACACAATAAGTGGATATTTAAGATAACTCTACAATTTGGAGATAATGGGTTTGTGATCCCTGTCACCATATAGCATTATTATACACGTAGGGTTGGAACTGTTTATTTAATAGAGTTAAATACAGACTTGTATACTGGCCTAGAACCTAACCATTCCACAAATATTGTGCTAGCCTTTGGGTGGTGACTCAATAATAGGCAGAAGCTATTGTGCAGTTCCTAAGTCTCCTTTTATATATTTGATTATTTCAGTAAACTTGTGTAAGTAACTCTTACTGTCTCAGTATTACAAATAAGGAAAAAAGCATAGAGAAGGAACTTTCCTAAGGACATAGAGCCAGTAAGACAATCCCTGCCTCCGTAGAACAGTGTTTAATATTGAATTGCAAGTTCCAAGTAATTTACAAAGTAATGCAGGGAAGAGAATAAGACCTTCAGTGAACACACAAAGTGAGCATAAAATTAATCAGTTTTTAGATCTTCTAAATCTCATGCATTTAGAATCTTGTTTTACAAAAAAATTACTCACTGGACTTGGCTATACCATTTGCTGGCTATTTCTAAAAACAATAATAAAATATTTAAATAATCAGGAAAAACAGGTTTACTGCCACTACTACCTTTCAGAAGGAACTGTAAATGACACTTCTAAACAATGACAACAGTTGTGACAAATTCAAGGTTTGAAGGAGAAATAAGTATATAGTTTCTAAGTATATAGCTAAGTATTTAAAAGCCAGTTTTATAATCATACTCCACACTCTTACAAGAGTTGAAAATATTGGGCTCATGTTCTACAATAAGGTATTAAATGGAATAACATTCTAAATCTGGTGGTCTACTTCCACTGAATTTATGGGATTCCTGTTGCAAATCAAATCACACCTAGCTCTTTGTCTACTACATCAAGAAGGTCTTGGGGGAAGAAAAGTCTTGAAAGTACATTCTTATTCTTGAAAACAAAATGTTTAATGTGTTCGACTTCTTTCAAGATCAGAGTTGAGTAATTCCTAGAAAGTTCAGCTGCATTCTTATTGATATGCAGTGCTCTTTCCTATTAATTTTTTGGGGGGGTAGGGAATAAATGCTATTTTTTGGTTAAAAATTTTAGAATCATACCAAAAGAAGAAACTAATAGACTTCTCCCCCAGAAGTCCAAGAAATATGTTTCTTTGACTAAAGCAAACCTAATTTTAGGATTTTCTAGGGTAAATGAGAATTTTAGTATTATAAACTATTCAAAGGACAGTGAATCTTTAGAAATTTCCTGAATGTGTTAAATTAGAATTGAAGTAGTTTCATGGCTAGCGTGAAATACTGAAGCAAACGGTTTTCTAATTTAACAAACATCAAAATAACAGTGAAAAGCATCATTTTCTCTGTGCTTATAAAACATGTAGCCTTGTTAAAGAATCTGCTATTACTGCTTTCCTTCTCTGTGAAGAAAACAGTATGGCAAAAGCTAAGAAAATTAAGCATTTCTTTGGCTTATCTGAACCTAAATTGCTTGACTTTTTAACTCAGTTTTCACATTTTCCACAGGGTAAACTTCCGTCTAGTTATGGCATATTTCTAACACGATTTCAGTGGGCCTCTCTCATATCACTACACAGCACCCAAAAGCATAGGGTGGAATTCACTATCTTAAAAGTAAGATTTTTGGTTTTGTGTTTATAACTTACACAAAAGAAATTAAATGTTTATTTGCGGCCCTTTTTGTTTTTACCATTACTGGAGCTACTGGTCGCACTTGGTGGCCTAGAAATATTGCCAGTCCCTGAAGAGGAGGCTGGGAAGTTCAGCTCTAATACTTTAATTGAAGTCTGAGAGGCAGTACTTGTGGAACTTCTGGATGACCTACAGGAAAAGAAAAACAACACTATTTTAAATTGAATTCAAAATCTTTATTAGTAAAGACCCCCTCGCTAATGGCAAAAGATACCATAATCCCACAAGGAATTAAAGAGATCAAAAAGTATATACTAGTAACACTACTAAATTTTAAAAGCATAACCATTCATGTCAAAAAATGCATTCGAAGAAAAATGGTAATGAACATAGAGTTTCAAACTAGTTCAACAAATGTTTCTATATGAGAAAAATATTTTCAACTATAATCAATTTAGAAGGGGAATCATTAAACATTAAAAAGGTTTTGCAAAAATCATTAAAGTGCCATGGTAATTTGGGTGCTGGCAAGAGTGACTACAATAATAGGTTAGGTAATCTAAAGAAGAAAATGAGGCCTATTGACAGGATAAAGTGGTGGGGTCATTTTTTTTTTTTTTTTAAGATTTTATTTATTTATTTGAGAGAGAGAGAATGAGAGAGAGCACATGAGAAGGGGGAGGGTCAGAGGGAGAAGCAGACTCCCTGCCGAGCAGGGAGCTCGATGCGGGACTCGATCCAGGGACTCCAGGATCATGACCTGAGCCAAAGGCAGTCACTTAACCAACTGAGCCACCCAGGCGCCCAGTGGTGGGGTCATTTGAAAAGCATAACTAGCTATACAATTCTGAAATGCTAAGACTTAAAATATGGAAATACAGCGATGTTTTATCAGGTGACTCCTTAACCATGTTTATGTAGAAACAGTTTTGTTCTACTTAAACACTATCTTTTAGGATGTCCCTTTTATTTTCTGAAAGCTCTCTGTGGACAAGTGAAAAATAAATGGCTATTGAACATAGGAGATTGGGAATTTTAAAATTAAGATCATTAATAATTTTTATTTTGTCAGCAAAGCACAAAACTGTTGATTAAACATCAATCTACCTGATAGAATTCCAGATAAAACTGAAGTGCAGAAGCAAAGAATAATTTCCTTTTTAGCAAAATAAAGCAGCAAAAATGAAATAAAATTCTGACTACTTAAAACTTCATAATGTGGTTTTAATCATAAAAATCATATGTCTGGGGACGCCTGGGTGGCTCAGTCGGTTAAGCGTCTGCCTTCAGCTCAGATCATGATCCCAGGGTCCTGGGATCAAGTCCCGCATCGGGCTCCCTGCTCCGCGGGGAGCCTGCTTCTCCCTCTGCCTCTGCCTCTCTCTCTCTCTCTATCTCTCATGAATAAATAAATAAAATCTTTAAAAAAAAAAAATCATATGTCTGTACATCTAAGTTGCCTTTTTATGGTTTAAAAAACTCTCCCCAGAGGCGCCTGGGTGGCTCAGTCAGTTAAGCAGCTGCGTTCCGTTCAGGTCATGATCCTGGAGTCCCAGGATTGAGCCCCGCATCGGGCTCCCTGCTCAGTGGGGAGTCTGCTTGTGCCTCTCCCTCTGCTCCTCACCCCGCTCATACTCCCTCTCTCTCTCTCTCTCAAATAAATAAAATCTTTAAAAAAAAAAAAAATCTCCCCATACTCAGGGTTAACCATGCAAGACATAACCTCCAAAATTTCACCCTGCTTTATCCTACTGAAAGCTGGAAGTCACAAAACACTCATGTCCTCATAGAAACTGACATCAGACAGATCAGAGGGAAAGAGTCTTGCTCTGCTGGCTGTTACCTGCATACATGACACTAACATAGAAAGGTGGGTAAGGAGGATAAGGAGAGCACTGGCAGATCCAGTGGCTGTAGCGGTATTTGCATAGAATAGAGAGTTAATGAGATGATTTTTAACCTTCCACTTACCTTGTTGATAACAGTGAAGTCTGTGAAGCAGATCTAGAACTCTGGCGACTGCCTTTTGTACCAGCTGTAGGTAGTTCTAAACCATTCTGGAAGAATATTCAACAGCGATCATTAGTACCACTGCATTTTAGAATATTTTGAATTAGACTTTATGATAAAGGCCATAAATTTATTTCATTAAGTGTTTAAAAAATATTTTAGCTAGAAGGTACTGTTATTACCTGTTGAAAGTATGTTTGAAGGATAATACGGATCTCAGCATTTTCTTCTGTGACATCAACTAGCATTTCATCAATGATCTTGTGGAAATGTTTCACTTCACGAAGTTTGATATCTTTTTCTTCTAGTGTTTCATCTTTTGTGTCTTTCAAAAGTCGGATTTCCTTGGTGAGTTTTGCACACTGTTGTTGGTCAATAGTAGTCAGTTATTATTTAAAACTATTTCCCAGAACTTAGTATTTTTTTATGGATGGAGGATTTGGAGTTACCATTTGGAACTCCAAAATATGTAAATATGACAGGTCAGTTTTTAAAAAGACAGCAGTACCTGTTTAATTACTCTCTCTAATTTTGGCTTCTGCTCCTCAGTTTCTCTATTTAGTTGAGATGAATAAGCCTGCTTCTCTGATAATTTTTCTTTGACATTATTTGTTAAATGTTCTATAACTTCTAAAGTATTTTTCATGCTCTGCAGAAAATAAAGCGTTAACATACTTCTTACTGGTTAGAATCAAAAACCTAAAACTTGCCATTTTTTCAAGTTATTTTTTTAATTCATTTATTTTTGTATAACAACATACATTATATTGGTAGATAACAAGTATAATGGTTCCTGGATTAAGTTTTGTATATAATTCCACTGGAAAGTATTTTTATGGTACTTAGGGGAAAAATAAGTCAAACAGTGACTATTAAAAGCATACGATTTTCAAAGATTCAAAATTCATACCATTGGTTCCTTCAAACATTAGCAAAAAAAAAAAAAAAAAAAATCTAAATTTTTATATAGAGCTTGCTTACCAAGCACATTTTTTCTCTTTCAGTGATGTGGTTTAGTAACTACTTTCTACTAGATTATTTTTATCTTTCAAATTTTAAGGAGCAAGGTGATCTTTAAAGAATTAAATGAAATAAAAGTTCATTAAATAAAAGTTAGTGGATAGATGTAATTAGCTGGCTATGATTCATCACCTAATTAACAAGTCATTATCAGCAGTCCATCCTGTGTTTAGTACTATGATTTTAACTAATTTATTTAATACTTTGGTCACTTTTTTTTCTCATTTTAATTAAATGAGACTTTTACTATTTACTTTAAAAAATTATCTTCTTTGTACAAGATAACAAGACAGTAGACATAATAATAATGATAGTTAACTTTTACTAAGGGCTTATTGCTAAAGCCTGTAGAATTTACCTGGATATCTTCCTGTAGTTCCCTGATTTGTCTTTGTTTGTATCTGTATTTTTCATCAATAGCTCTTTTTTGTTCTTCTAGTTGGATTTTTTGTTCATACTCATCACCTAAAATTAGAGAATTCTTAGTTTAAATTTTTAACATGTTATGTAGAAAGCAAGCTTCAAGTCTTACATATATTAAACTTCTAACATTTTTTGTTACAGAAGGTTAAATTCCTTGTATCTGCTTGTTGAAAAACAGTATGAGCATGTAATGTGGTAGCCATTCTTGTTTTGTCAACATAGAGCAACCAATGTGCTGCTATTTTCTTCACATTTGAAATTAATTCCCAGAGAAGTGATATGCAATACTGCTAGAACTAATAATGGAAATAACAACTTAGTCCTTATTTTAAAGGGGGCGGGGAGATGATTTTCTGACTCAATCAAACATGGTACATTTTTGTTTTCCATGTCTCACAATGTTCCTCTTTAAAAATAAGTAACTACAGCTTTAATTGCATATATTCATAAAAAATTTTTAATAACTCCTACATACTAGATGGAGTCACTTTTTTAAAAGATTGTTTGTAATTGTTGTTGCAACTTCTCAGCACTTGCAAGGTGTTTTCTAGAGCATAGATTTCTTTTTCAGCTTTGTTGATCTTAGCATCCAAACTGTCACCTTCCCTTTGAAGTTCTTCTTTTTCTTGAGCAGCCTATGAAATACAGAATAGAAGTGACTGCACATGTGGTGAGCGCTGTGAATTATGTAAGACTGATGAATCGCAGACCTGTACCTCTGAAACAAATATTACATTATATGTAAAAAAAAAAAAAAAAGAAAAAGATAGTAGGAAGGGAAAAATGAAGGGAGAAAATCGGAGGGGTGGACGAACCATGAGAGACGATGGACTCTGAGAAACAAACTGAGGGTTCTAGAGGGGAGGGGGGTTGGGGGATGGGTGAGCCTGGTGATGGGTATTAAAGAGGGCACGTACTGCATGGAGCACTGGGTGTTATACGCAAACAATGAATCATGGAACACTACATCAAAAACTAATGATGTAATGTATGGTGATTAACATAACATAATAAAAATTTTTTTAAAAACGAATTTAACTAATTTAAAAAAAAAAAAAAGTGACTGCACAAAAGTATCAGGAGCAAATGTCTGTTTCCAGGGCAGGAAATAGTTTAGTCACAACAATACCAATTTACCTTGGGGCCTACATGCAGAATTAAGCATTTATTTCTTGCACTAAATAGAAGGCAGCTTCAAACTAGATCTATTCCATAAGGAGAATACATGTTTCTGGCCTGCAAGAGACTTAGGAACACTTTCTCATTTTAAGTCTTAGGAATAAAGGAGGTAAGCAATGTAAACCTAGGAAAGTAAATGCATATTATTTCCAACCCAGTTATAATGTTATTAGAACTAGGATTTCAACGTTTTTGAACAGTTAAGTAATATTAAAATTAGAATGCTCACTTGAGTAGCATATACTAAAATCAGAACAAATAGAAAAAATTAGTCTGGCGCCTTGCACAAGAATAACATGCAAATTTGTGAAGCACTCTGTATTTTTAAAAGGAGAAACACTGCATGATTCCACTTAAATGAGATGCCTGTAATAGTCAAATTCACAGACGGAAGATAGCATGGTGGTTGCCCGGGGCTGAGGAGAGGGAAAAATGGGGACTCAGTGTTTAACAGGTAGAGAGTTTCAGTTTTGGAAGATGAAAAAGTTCTGGAGATGGATGTTGGTGTTGGTTGCACAACAGTGGGGATGTACTTAATACCACAGAACTGTACACTTAAAAATTGTTAAAATGGTCAATTTTATGTGTATTTTGCCATGTTTAAAAAATTTTTTTTAATTAGAGAAAGATAAATGTGGCTGGAAAAAAATGCAGTCTATAAATTGCTGAAAACCAAAAAGTCTCAGTAGTAGGCATACTCAGTGACTTTTTCCAGCTTAACTCTGTCACTGGGCTAGGCTCTCTAGAGTTGTATCCAAAAAGTTCCAAAGAACTTCTCCAATTAAATGTTGACAGGGATAACATGAATACATATTTAAAAGTGCCAAAACCCATTTTTAATCAAAATCAAATAATTTAATTTGTTAATTTATTCAATCCCTAGGTGTGGCATGTATTTAAACCAGAATGTGGCCATTTGAAGTTTTATTGGTAATTCTTTATCTTTTAACATTTTCACTGGTATTTATTATGCTTCAAAATCTGTTAACACATATTTTTATAGTAAATAGTACATAATAAAAAATACAGTTAACAAAAAAAAATTTCTTAGATAAATTATAATCTAATTCCAGTTTAGTTGAGTCTAGAATTGGCAACCTTTTCATTCAAAAAATACTATAGTGGGGGACACCTGGGTGGCTCAGTCGTTGAGCGTCTGCCTTCGGCTCGGGTCATGATCCCAGGGTCCTGGGATCGAGTCCCACATGGGGCTCCTTGCTCAGTGAGGAGCCTGCTTCTCCCTCTCCCTCTGCTGCTCCCCCTGCTTATGCTCTCTCTCTCTGACAAAAAAATAAAAAATCTTTAAAAAAAAAAAAAAAATACTATAGTGGAAGAGACCTAGAATGAATCAAAACAGCTAGATTTTAATTGTGGATTTCCTATGAATGAGGTAACATTAAATAATTCATTTTCCTTCTCCGAGTTCAGTTTATTTGTCAAACAAAGGGGCTGACTTTGTACATTTATATATATTTCTTGATCTAATTCCATATGTACCTTAAACTAAAAACTTTTATGACCCTATCTGGTTCTAAATCAGACATTATAGAATGTATACCTTTTATCCTAGATTAGAAAGCTTATATTAGAAACAAATTTTTATTTATACCTTTCTGTCAACATTTAAAGCATTTTCTAGTAATTTCATTTTCTAACAGTTTCACTAAATTGTGGTCAGAACTGGACTGTAACCTTATAAAGACCACGTAAGACATATTGAGTCTAGCTACAAATAAAAAGTTTCGTTTTTACACATCTGGCACATGTGAAGTGTTAAGAGTAAAACATTTAAATATGCTGCATAATGAAAAATGGAATAATGTGGCAAGCTGCGGACCCTAGAAAGGATGGAAAGTGAAGAGTGGCATTAGGAAATTGGGAAGGTAACTGATCGCCTTGATTCATCTTACATATCCCTTATGCTGACATTTATCCAGCAACTTCACCGTAAACAGAACACACACTCTTTTTCTCATAAAATTTGCCTGTTTTCCTGAGAAGTGGATACATCATCATCATCGTCATCATCATCATCACAGCAATAACAATAATGACAGCAATTTACTGAGGGCTCATTTTGTACATTTACTGAGGGCTCATTTTGTTCCAGACACTGTTTAAGGGTTTTATATACGTTTCTTTTTTGGGGGGGGGTATTGTTTTATTTGGGAAAAGTGCTTCTTACAAAAGGGCAGCTGCAAAATACAGAGACCTCTTCAACAATTACTTGTTTTTTCTTAGAGTGAAAGAATGGGTGGGGTCCAAGGAATGAATCAAAGCAGTAGATGGACAAATGAGGAGCATCTCCCAAGTTACTTTAGGACCTAGAGCAACAAAACTCAAAGCTAAAGTTTCCAATCTTCTTCTAACAACTTAACTTTAGCTCGTCTCGTGGATTACCACCCCCGCCCCCCTTTTAGTGGAAAAGCATGACTTACTCCTGCCAACCAATGACCCCAATACAAGAAACACCTTGAACTAAGTTCTGAATCACATCTGTCTACCTGCAAAGCTCAGGGATGGTATGAGGCAAATACCCACAAAAACAAACACAAAAACCTGACAACAAAACCTCAAACGAGGACAAACATTTGTCCAAAAGTGCCTGGGCTGGAGAGGCTGGGAGACCCTAAAACATTAAATACAACTGTGTATCTGAGCCCTGGTTTGTGTTAATGAATGGGACCAGCAGACAGGTGACCTCTCTGTGGCTAAGCCCATTTCTCTATTTATACAGACAGAGCTAGCTAGCACCGCTCTACCAACAGCTACCAATATCCTGCTTTGTCCTTTACAATCTATGTGCCATATGAGGCTGAAACCACTAAACCAAAGTTTTTCCACTAAGGCTAAGAACACAACATCTATGCAGGGACGAGGAGCTTCTCACACACACTCACACACACCAAGTCCATCAGCCTTCGGGAGTCCGCTTCCAGCTCGGCCGTTCACTTAGGCTACTACATCTGTTGTACGTGTTCCTTCTCAACTTTCCTATCGTGCTAAACACAGTAAAAATCTCAACACATTCACACCTGGTTCTGGTTACCCAGTAGTATGACGTGCACAATTCAACAAGAGACCAAAACCACAGAACAGGTGCACAGTGGGGGTTATGGGGTAGGGAACAGATTTAAAAACACAGATGTGCAGATTTCACCAGAAACCTCGGGTATCCACCTCATAAGTCTGTGGCAGGCTACGTGCCACAGTGCAGATCCATCACCCATCACCTCTATTCTTGTACCCCAAAGCAGGGCCAATGCTGTTCTTGAACCTGGGGTCCTCCGAGTAAGTGTGGAGAGTCCATCAACGCTACCCTAGAATGGTGTCAATCTGGTGGAAAACAGATGATGCAACAGACCTACGCTAACTGACAGTTAAATTCATGTTACAAAAAAACTAGCTTTAAGATTTATTTTTGTAACTTTTTTTTTAAACAGAGAAAAAAACACACTCCTTGGGGAAAGGTGAGGGATTGAGACAGGCCCTGGGTAAGAAGGATCACGACAGCACCTGGAGTTGACAGGCCTGCCTAGGAGAGAAGCTCGGGCACTACCACACCACCACAGGGGACAGCTACTGCCTGAGGCTCAGCAGACCAGTTCACCCGCCACGCCAAGCTGCTATAGATGCAAGTCATAAAAATCTTCCAGCTCATCATGAAACAAGTCCCACTCATCTTCAGAGTCTGTCAGGTCGTCGTCCCCACCTGCAGCCAAAAGCATAAGCAACATCTCGCCCAGCTCAAAGGTGACAACCTCCTCTTCTTCGTTGTCAAAGGGGTTGCCGTTCTCTCTTTCCTCAATGAGCTCCCAGAAGTGGTTCCTTCGTTGGGCCCGGTATCTGCTTGATGTTCCCACTTTCTGTCTCTGTGGCTCCTCTCTACGGCCATCAGGGTACGCATGCTTGTAAAAATAGTTCCCTCCAAATGGGCAGCTCCCATGTCCTTCATCAAAATACCTGCACGCCTTGTTGCTCATTGCTTCCTTGTAATCCTGAATGAGTTTCTGCTTCTCTTCTTTCTCCTCTACCCAGTACTCACTTGGAATAACAAAGTTAGATGTGATCCAGCATTCTGGGCAGGACTTTATGATCTGGCTCTCAAATTGCTTAGCACTCCTCTACTTGCGAATACACTTGAGACAGGAAGTGTAGTTGCAGTTGGAGAGAATCCCAAAGTGGCACTCACTGGGGTTGGCTTTTTCATAGACCACCTCCATGCAGATGCCACACACCACATCCTTACTGTGCTGGACAGCAAATGAGAGCTCCATGTCCTTCTCACGGGCCTCAATGCAAGATCTCTGGGCAGCATCCATCGGATGGAGGACCTGCAGCCCACATATGTCACAGGAGTCTCCGTGGAGATACGCACAGTTCTCCCCATACCGGCACTCTCCGACCATAGCATAGGGGCAAAGCTGCCGCTTGGTTTCTGCTGCCGTTTGCTCTTTCTCCAATTCTTCCTTGGTCACTGAGCCTTGCGGGGATGCTTCAGTGCAGGAAGGGGCAGTACGGCCACAGTAGGGCTGCCCAGGAACAAACTCAATGGCATTCACCCGTCTTCTGAACCTGCTCCTACCGTTCAAAGAAGGGCTACAGAAGGAAACTTGCAAGATTAAGTATAAGTCAAAGGAAAGGGAACATCTGTCCACAGGGTCATCCTCTAAAGGTGTGAATTAGATCTTCCCACTTCCTTCAGTGTATGATAGAGGAAAAATGAGTTAAAGTTAAATTTTCCACTCCTTTGTAGTGTCTTGAGTAAGTTCCCAGACCTCTGTGTAAAGGAAATCACACCTGTTCAGTTTCTACATGGCAAAAATGAGTATGGCAGTACTCAGAAAGGGAAATGCATCTAGTTCCTGATCACTTCTCCATTTCCCCTTATGGGTTACTCGGTAAAGATAACCATGAAATGGCAGACAAATCTCAAACATTAGAACAGAGCAGATTCACCCGATCTGTCTCCCTCCCATCTAATATGAAGGCAAAGGAACAGGCCTCTTCCTCTCTGGATAGCCACCATACCAGAGCTGCACTGGTAAATTAGAGAATTAAGATTTCAAAGGTGGTGTAGCTCCAGGTGATGATCTAGGGTGTAGCCACATAAGTGGATGGCTATAGTGAAGTAAGGCCTTGAGACTGAGGTGTTGAACAGGTTATCACATGAATACTAAAGACATGCAAAGTGACAGCAGGTCTTAGGGTAAAACAGATTATGAATCTAGAATAAATGAGGGAAAATGACATGACACAAATGATAGCAAAAAAAAAAGGTATCAAAGAACAGTCCAGACCTTTCTTTGACCTCATGCACTTGAGGTGTATAGCTTCAGGGGGGGCCTGGGTGGTTCAGTCGGTTAAGCCTCTGACTCTTGGTTTCACCTCCCGTCATGACCTCAGAGCCCAGCGTCAACTCCGTACTCAATACAGTCTGCCTGAGGTTCTCTCCCTCTCCCTCTGCCCCTTACCCCACTCGGGCAGTGTTGCACATGCCTGCACTCTCTCAAATAAATAAATCTTTAAAAAATAATAATAGCTGCAGTACCTCTACCTAACAACTAGTGTTTCATGGCCCTGATCAAGTGCAGTAGGTACAAGAGCGCTATGAAATTTAAAGTTGCGTGGCAAAAAAAAAATGCCATTTGGTTGTTAACAAAGAGCAAAGATACTTCACGTTATCACAACTATGAATCAATTAAGATTACCTTTATCACATAATAGGCCTGTGTTTTCTCCTCTTCTCCTTCAGGAGGCAGCATTACAACAGTAAGAATTTCATATCTATTCTTCAGCTTATCAATTTTACTTAGCCTCTCATGAAACTCAGCACTAATATGGAAAGAAAAAGAAAAACACTGAAAAACAAATGACATACATTTTTAAAGGACTACAGTGTTCTTATATGACATTTTTATTAATACTAAATTCAAACAGGTTAAATATATTCTCACTTTTCAATTTTCTAATTAGTGGAAAGCATCTCGGGTTTCACCCTATTTGAAAGCTAAGAAGTTAGGCTGCCATAGTTTCATGGAAGTTGGCAGAAGACACAAGATTCCTAGGTCAGAGAAAAAGGACTTTGTCAGTCATGGTACACCAAGTAGCATGAGCCTCCTGCTTGCAGAGCTCTCAAAGTCCCATGCAAGTGAGGAGAAGCTCAAGTGGATATTACATATACCGCAGGTTTACATCACAGCTAAGGAACCTCAAGCTTAGGTAATCCAAATATCTTATAACGGGAACTAAGCAAATACATCCAATCTTTACTCCAGCAAGAGGATACCACCTCTGGCTTCTGAGGCTATTCACTATCCAAACATCATTTAAAGGTAGTTTAATGCAAATTAAAATCACAATACCATATTACCTCACAGCCTTAGGGTAGTTACTAAAAAAGAAAGAAAGAAAGAAAAAGAAAGGAAGGAAGGAGGGAGGGAGGGAGGGAAGGGGGAGAGAGGGAGAGAGAGAGAGAGAGAGAGAGAGAGAAGAAGAAAGAAAGAAAGAAAGAAAGAAAGAAAGAAAGAAAGAAAGAAAGAAAGAAAGAAAGAAAGAAAGAAAAAAGAAAGAAAGAAAGGAAAAAAAGAAAATATTGGCAGGGTGCCTCGGTCGCTTAGTCAGTTAAGCTGCTGGTTCTTGATTTCAGCTCAGATCATGATCTCAGGGTCCTGGGGGCTCTCAGTGGGGAGTCTGCCTGAGATTCTCTACCTCTTCCTCTGCCCCTCCCCACACTAGTGCACTCTCTTGATCTCTCTCTAAAATAAAAAAAAAAAAATAAATCTTTAAAAAAAAAAGTACTGGCAGGGGCGCCTGGGTGGCTCACTCGGTCAAGCACCTGCCTTCAGCTCGGGTGTTGATCTCAGGGTCCTGGGATCGAGCCCCGCATCGGGCTGCCTGCTCAGTGGGGAGTCTGCCTCTCCCTCTCACTCTGCTCCCCCCTGCTTGTGCTCACTCTATCAAATAAATAAATAAAATCTTTTAAAAAAAAAGTACTGGCCCTCTCTCACTGTATCTATCTGTATCGTATGAATAAAATCTTTTTTTAAAAAGTACTGGCAATAATATGGAGAAATTGGAACCCTTGTGCACTATTGGTGGAACTGTAAAATGATGCAACCACTATGGAAAACAGTATTGCAGTTCGTCAAAAAATTACAAATAGAACTACCATATGATACAGCAATCCCACTTCCTGTTAGATAGCCAAAAAAATCAAAAGCAGGTACTTGAAGAAATCTCTGCACCCCAATGTTCATAGCAGCATTTTATTCATAATAGCCAAGAGGTAAAGCAACCCAAACATCCATGGACAGATGAATGGATACATTAAATGTGGTATATACATGTAATGGAATATTATTCAGCCTTAAAAGGAAATTGCATCACATGCTACATAGATGAACCTGAGGACATTATGCTAAGTGGAATAAGCCAGTCACAAAAGACAAATACTGCATGATTCCGCTTACATAAAGTATCTATAGCAGTCAAATTCATACAGACAGAAAGAATGGTAGTTACCAAGGGCTGGGAGAAGGAGGAAATGGAAGTTTATAAAGACTGAAAAGGGAGACACAAAACTGTTATTTGCAATTGATGTAAATGAAATACCTAGAAATTAGAATCTACAGATCAACTGTCAGAATTAATAAAAGTTTAAGCAAAGTTAATGGATTCTTAATATATAGAAATCAACTGTATTTCTACAATGCTAGTAACAAACCAAAAATGAAATGATTTAAAAGAAATAACATTGACAGAAAGATTTTTAAAAGTAGCAGGTAGGGGCACCTATGTGGCTCAGTCCGTTGAGCATCTAACTCTTGATTTTGGCTCAGGTTATGATCTCAGGGTCCTGGGATCGAGCTCCACATCAGGCTCCCTGCTCAGTGGGAAGCCTGCTTCTCCCTCTCCCACTCCCCCCGCTTGTGTTCCCTCTCTCGCTGTCTCTCTCTGTCAAATAAATAAATAAAATCTTTTAATAAATAAATAAATAAATGCAGCCATGGCGAAGCATGTTATTGAACTCTCCCCACAAAACATACTCGAGGGCGCCTGGGTGGCTCAGTCATTAAGCGTCTGCCTTTGGCTCAGGTCATGGTCCCAGGGTGCTGGGATCGAGTCTCACATTGGGCTCCCTGCTCAGCAGGAAGCCTGCTTCTCCCTCTCCACTCCCCACTGCTTGTGTCCCCTCTCTCACTGTGTCTCTCTCTGTCAAATAAATAAATAAAATCTTTAAAAAAAAAATACTTAAAAATCAGTTCCAAGGGAATTAGTGATCTCATTGCAAAAGGGATAATCTAAAGAATTAGGAGTTAGCCAAAGGAAAGAAGGAGGAAAAACCATAGGTTTATGACTAAGATATGTCCAATATATTAAAGGCCTTTTCAAATAAGTAAGAAAAAGATGATCATCCAGTCAGTTCTTCTGATACGACGCTTACATTTTAAAAAAATTTTAGCAGTATTTTAAAACTCGAATTATTACCTTATGTTCTGCCGTTCTTGCTCAACATATCTTATTTGTGAAGCAAGCATTGTTTTGTGAACTTTAATTTCTTCAATTCGTTCTTCCATAGCTGTGTGTAATTGCTGTTTTCTTTTTTCCAGAGAAAGTACTTCTTCTGCCTTACTGTGAAGCATTTCTCTAGCACGTTTAACTTCAAGTTTTAAAAGATTGTCTTCTATCATCAAATCCTGTCAACATAACAAAATTGTCAGATACTGAAATAATTACTATTATACCCAATCCATAATATTTTCTTTTATTGCCACAGAAGTCAAACTTGAAAATATAACTTTTTCTAATTTGACCACTGACCAAGGTAACTAGGATTAAATTTAGATTGCTCTGAGTGATGACTCTTGGTTTCTCTTCACTTTTTAAGAAAAGGATTTATTTCAAGTCTTATTATAATTCAATTTGAAATTTAAGTTTTACTAATAAAAAAAAAGGAAGAAGTTATTCCCAAAATTGAAACTTATAATCCAGGAATATAGTCCTATATAGTCCTGTGGATGAAAATTTTTATATTCTAAACTAAATCTAACAAAACAACATGTAAATAAATTTTTATTCTAAACAATTCAGTCATGGATAGAGTACTGACACAAGAGTACACAAATAGATCAGTTTTCAGAATAGAAAGCCCAGAAACAAACACTCCAGAACATAAGGCTTTATTATTTCAAAACATAGCTTTTCAGGTGGAGAGAAGATTAGATCCCTACATCTCAAATGTACCAAAAATAAATTCCAGATTAATGAAAAATTTAATGTAAGAGAGAAAACCAATGCAGTTACTGAAATAGTAAACATTTGTTTGATTTTTAGTATGACAAAGAAGTTTCTAAGTATAAAAATTATGCAGGGAAAAACAAATATTTGATGTTAAAAAAAGTTTTTAATGTCAAAAAACTGAATAAAAATTTAAAGATAAATGGAAAAAATATTGACAATATTTATGACAGAGTTAATAGTTTTACATATGAAGGTCTTTTGCAAAGCAATTCAAAAATACAAACCTTCTAATGGAAATATGAGCTAAGATAAAAATCTAGAAATCCAAAAAAAGAAAGATTATGGAATATAACATACTAGAAAAAAATGTTTTAAACATTTTTTCGAGAGGGAGAGAGCATGCACAAGTGGCGGGGGGAGGGGACCACAGAGGGAGAGGGAGAGAAACCCAAGCAGGCTCTATGCACAGTGCGGAGCCCACACGGGGCTCAATCCACAACCCTGAGATCATGACCTGCACAGAAAGCAAAAGTCAGACACTTAACCCACTGAGCCACCCAGGCACCCTTAAACATTTTTATTTAAACATAAATATTTTAAATTTTATGTTGAAACATGAAATGTTTTCACGTGTCACCAACTTAAAAAATATAGACTAAAACAATGAAATACAATGTTTGCCCATCAAATTCACAATTTTATAAATTATAATATCCAGCCTTACTGGTGGTGTGTAAAATAGAATGCTACACACTGCTGGTGGGAGTATTAAATGAATCCTCTAGAAGAAGACAATTTGGCTTAAACATAGTTTGGGGGCACCTGGGTGGCTCAGTTGAGCGCCCGACTCTTGGTTTCAGCTCAGGTCATGATTTCAGGGTCATGAGAGCAAGTCCTTTGTGGAGCTCCCCACTCAGCATGGAGTCTGCTTCAGAGTCTCCCTCTCTCCCTCTGCCACTCCCCCTGTTGATGCGTGCTCTCTCTCTCTAAAATAAAATAAAATATTTTTTAAAAAAGAAAATAGTTTCAAGATACTGAAAATATTCATTCTTTTTGGACCATAATTATACAATTATAAATTTTTCCTAACTCATTAAATAACTATACAGTGATATATATGCATGGTATATGGTAGTACTATTTTTTTTTTAAGTGGGTTCCACACCCAAGGTGGGGCTCAAACTCATGACCTTGAGAACAAAAGTCGCATGCTCCACTGACTGAGCCAGCCAGACGCCCCTGATAGTACTATTTAGAATAACCAAACATTGGAAATAAACACAAAAGAAACACGAAAAACAGGAGATGGTTAAATAAATTATGGTAACTTGCATGCAATAAACTGTAGAAAGCCTTTAAAAATTATTTTTAAAGAATATTTAATGTTCAATATTTAATGCTTGCAAACATACATGGAAATAGAGAATATATTTAAATTTTTAAAAAAATAATATATATAAAGCCAATTTTCTTCAAAAGACTACAAGGAAATAATATAACTTTAACACCTTATCTTGTATACAGTGATTTATATTCATCTTTATAAATTGGTATATTTTTTAAATTTTCTATAGTTAGCATTAAAATGTGGTTTTTAATATTTCATACACATATGATTTTACTGCACCTGTTTCAAAGCTTTGGTTTTATTAAGTTCTTTCTCTGATCTGTCACTGAAAAGGTTTAGTTCATTTATTTTGGTCATGAGGAACTGTTTTTCATCACAATTTTTACTGTTTGACTTCTTGATAAAATAAAGATCATTCTATAAAAAGGGAAAAGAGGTGAAATACATATTTTAAAATAACATTAAATACATAGTATTAAACATATCTTACATTAAATTATATGCTCCATTGAATATTTATAATAATTCGATTTTTAAATCTCATTCTTCGTGCTCTAATGTTTCTAATATAGTACATGGGGATATTCACATAGAAACATTTTCATTTTTATCACTTACTGATTTTTTGGATTTGGTTTAGGTTCAGTAATTCCGGTAAATATTATGTACAGTTCGACCTGAATTATTGGGGGATTGTCATTTATGGGGAGAAATATGAGGAGGAAGCCAAGCATTGGTTCAGTACACAGCTCACCTTTTTAAGTTTATTATTTGATTCAACCCACGTCACAGAAGGCAAAAACCTTCACGGTCTAAAAAAGCATAGGGTTTTCGTTCATGGTACAAGGTCTAGAATCAGATGGCCATAATTATACATTAGCCATCTGACCCTGGTGGGCAACCTACGCTTCCTTAGTTTCCTCATTTCTAAAATGGAGATGACAATACCCACCTCTCTGAGCTGCTGTTACTGTCAAAGATGTTACTGTCAAAGAGTATGTTCAACAGTGTTTGACACATAGAAGGGTCATGAATTCTTACTATTATTTAATTACATGTATAATCACATATTGCTAGAGAGAAAAATGCTAGAAAAGATCTAAGTCCATCAGATGCATAAATGTGTCACACATACCCAGATATCAGTTTCCTAGCTTTATAACAATCTACATCTCTCCACTCACCCAGACCTCGGAACAAGGTTTGTGCTCATAGTCCCCTCTGGGTACCTAAAGCAAAAATTTTCTAGTTTCAAGACCTAGTTCTGTTCCTCTCGCCCTCTTTTTTTTTTTTTTTTTTTTTAAGATTTTATTTATTTTTTGACAGAGAGAGAGGCAGGGAGAGAGGGAATACAAGCAAGGGGAGCTGCAGAGGGAGAAGCAGGCCTCCCGCGGAGCAGAGAGCCCGATGCGGGGCTCGATCCCAGGACCCTGGGATCATGACCTGAGCTGAAGGCAGACGCTTAATGACTGAGCCACCCAGGCACCACTCTCCCTCTATCTTTTATTCTCTCTTTCTCTCTGCCTCCCTCCTATGCCTCTCTCATTGCCTGTATTTTTCTTAGGTATCAAGACCTAAGATTACAGCAAGACAGTAAGAAGAGGAATTTTTTTTTTTTGTATAAAGATGTGATTTCATAAAATTAACTTTTAGAATGAAAAAATTTTAACTTAAGGTGATTTTCAACCAGAAGGAATTAGTTTCTATTATGCAAAATAGGAAATGGAATGGCATGGGAGAGGTAATGCAGAATGACTTGACAATCTCATGGTACTATTGAGAAGAGCAGACCTTCATTAGAAGGTTAACTAGCTTTAATATCTTTGAAACTTCACTTGCATTTCTTTTAATTTATTTATCTCTCTGTTAAAACCAGAGTTGGGATAGGCAAAAGTACTAGTCAACTGTATAACGGACAGAGCCCCAGAGTAGTTAAAAGGCAGAACACTAGAACCATTTCAACACAGCAAAACAGACACAATTCACACCAGGGTCAAGAAACATGCTTGCATACAAATGTCACCCTCCTATCATTCTGTAGCATTAATATTCTCCTCATATTCTATGTAATTAAAACAAAATCATTTATTGAATACCTACTAAAAGCACTGTGTTAAGATACACATTGCTTCTAATTCTCCCAAATGCCCTAAAATAATATCAAATATTTTCTTTCATTTAATAGATGAGTTAACTAAGGCTCAGTTAACTAGAGCTCAGAAATTTTAAAGTAGCAATACTGAGAGGGAGGAGCAAGATGGCAGAGGAGTACCCAGGAATTCAGCTGGATAGGGATCAACCATTCTGAACACCTACAAACTCAACAGGAGATCTAAGAAAAGAAGAGCAACAATTCTATGAACAGAAAAGCGACCACTTTCTGAAAGGTAGGACATGCGGAGAAGTGAATCCAAGGCGATATTTGGGAAGATAGACAGCCCAGGGAGGGAGCCTCCGTCAGCCACTACTGGCAAGTGATAGAGCAGCGGACACAAAATCAGAACTTTTAGAAGTTGGCTCTGCTGAGAAACGTCACTCCAGTGGCTAAGCGGGGCGTGGACCCTCGCTGGGACAGCATGGTCTCAGGACCCTCAGGGTCACAGAAAGACTGGGGATGCCTGAGTGCGGCAGAGCTCCCAGGTAGTGGAGCGGGGAAGCTGGCTGCAGAGACAGAGCCAAGGCGTGGGCTCTCAGCTCGGGATTGTCATAAACCATGATCCGCAGCACAGTCGGGGAACTGCTCCTCCAGCAGGGACCCAACAAGCGGCAGATCTGGGGAGACTCCCCTTCCTCCCCTGGGAGGAGCGGCAAGGGAGCACACCGCAGGGATCTGCTGGGTTTGGAGTCTCTAATGGGGTCGTGTGCCAGAGATGGAAACTCTCAGTCACAGGCCAGGTGAGCATGGAGTGCGGCCAGAGACCAGGGAGACGGGAGTGATTGGCTGCTTTTCTCTGGGGGCGCACTGAGGAGTGGGGCCCCGAGTTCTCCACAACTTCAGAACCAGAGACAGGGAAGCCACCATTTTCATTCTCATCCTCCAAAGCTGTACGGAAAGCTTTCAGGGAACAAAAGCTCCCAAGAGCAAACCAAGAAGATTACTTAGCCTGGCCCCTGGCAAGGGCGGGGCAATTCCACCTCGGGCAAAGACATTTGAGAACCACGGCAACAGGCCCCTCCCCCAGAAGATCAGCAAGAACATCCAGCCAAGACCAAGTATACCGATCAATGAGAACAGCAAAACTCCAGCACTAGGGGAATACAGCACATAGAATTCGTGGCTTTTTTTCCCCATTATCTTTAGTCTTTCAAAGTTAATTTTTTAATTTTCTTTATTTTTTCTTTTTCTATTTTTTTTAATTTTTCTTCTTTCCTTTTTCAACCAACATATTTTATCAATTGCTTTTTTAAAATCTTTTTTAATTTTCACTTTACAAATTCTATCCATTCACTGTATTTAACCTTATTTTTTGTGTATATATATGTTTTTCTTTCTTTAAAATTTTGAGATACAGTTTCTTCTAACATACCAAAACATACCCTAAATCTAGTATATGGCTTTGTTCTAGTCTCCCATGTGATCACATTCTCTCCTTTTTTTTTCTTTTTTTAAATTTTTCTTCTTTCTTTTTTCAACAAACTTATCAATTCCTTTCTTAAAATACTTTTAAATTTTCATCTTTACAGTCATATTCCATCCCTTTATCGTATTTACCCTTATTTTTGTATATATATAAGTTTTTATTTCTTTAAAATTTTGGGAGGCAGTTTCTCCTAACAGACCAAAATACACCCAAAATCTAGTGTGTGGCTGTTCTATTCACCAGCCTGATCAAAAAAAAAATTTTTTTTCCCTTTCTTTTCCCCCTAGTTTCAGATCTCTTCTGATTTGCTTAGTGTATATTTTTCTGGGGTCATTGTTACCCCTTTAGCATTTTGTTCTCTCATTCATCTATTCTTCTCTGGACCAAATGACAAAACAGAAAAACTCACCTCAAAAAAAAAACAAAAACAAGAGACAGTACCCACTGCCAGGGACCTAATCAATACAGACATTAGTAAGATGTTGGAACCAGAGTTCAAAATGACGATTATAAAGATACTAGCTGGGCTTGAAAAAAAACATAGAAGATACTAGAGAATCCCTTTCTGGAGAAATCTAAGAACTAAAATCTAACAAGTCAAAATCAAAAAGGCTATTAATGAGGTGCAATCAAAAATGGAGGCTCTACCTGCTAGGGTAAATGAGGCAGAAGAAAGAATTAGCGATATAGAAGACCAAATGATGGAGAATAAAGAAGCTGAGAAAATGAGAGATAAACAACTACTGGATCACGAGGGCAGAATTCGAGAGATAAGGGATACCATAAGATGAAACAATATTAGAATAATTGGGATGCCAGAAGAAGAAAGAGAGAGAGGGGCAGAAGGTATACCGGAGCAAATTATAGCAGAGAACTTCCCTAATTTGAGGAAGGAAACAGGCATCAAAATCTAGGAGGCACAGAGAACCCCCCTCAAAATCAATAAAAATAGGTCAACACCCCGACATCTAATAGTAAAATTTACGAGTCTCAGAGACAAAGAGAAAATCCTAAAAGCAGCTCGGGACAAGAGGTCTGTAACCTACAACGGTAGAAACATTAGCTTGGCAGCAGACCTATCCAGAGACCTGGCAGTCCAGAAAGGACTGGCATGATATATTCAGAGCACTAAACGAGAAAAATATGCAGCCAAGAATACTATATCCAGCTAGGCTGTCATTGAAAATAGAAGGAGAGATAAAAAGCTTCCAGGACAAACAAAAACTAAAAGAATTTGCAAACATCAAACCAGTCCTACAAGAAATATTGAAAGGGGTCCTCTAAGCAAAGAGAGAGCCTAAAAGTAACATAGAGCAGAAAGGAACAGAGACAATATACAGTAATAGTCACCTTACAGGCAATACAATGGCACTGAATTCATATCTTTCAATAGTTACCCCTGAATGTAAATGGGCTAAATGCCCCAATCAAAAGACACAGGGTATCAGATTGGATAAAAAAAACAAGACCCATCGATATGCCATTTGCAAGAGACTCATTTTAGACCCAAAGACACCTCCAAATTTAAAGTGAGGGGGTGGAAAACCATTTACCATGCTAATGGACATCAAAGAAAGCTGGGGTGGCAATCCTTATATCAGACAAATTAGATTTTAAACCAAAGACTATAATAAGAGATGAGGAAGGACACTATATCATACGTAAAGGGTCTACGCAACAAGAATCAATTAAAGATTTTAGTTATTTGACAGAGAGAGAGAGAGCGAGAGCAGGAACACCAGCAGGGGGAGTTGGAGAGGGAGAAGCAGGCTTCCCACCGAGCAGGGAACCCGATGCGGGACTCAATCCCAGGACCCTGGGATCATGAACTGAGCCGAAGGCAGACGCTTAACAACTGAGCCACCCAGGCACCTGAAGATCTAACAATTTTAAATATCTATGCCCCTAACATGGAAGCAGCAAATTATATAAGCCAATTAATAACAAAATCAAAGAAATATCGACAATAATACAGTTATAGTAGGGACTTTAACACCCCCTTCACTGAAATGGACAGATCATCTAAGCAAAAGATCAACAAGGAAATAAAGGCTTTAAATGATACACTGGACCAGCAACCTCACAGATATACTCAGAACATTCCATTCCAAAGCAACAGAATACACATTCTTCTCTAGTGCATATGGAACATTCTCCAGAATAGATCACATCCTGGGTCACAAATCAGGTCAACCAGTACCAAAAGACTGGGATCATTCTCTGCATATTTTCAGACTACAATGCTTTGAAACTAGAACTCAGTCACAAGAGGAAAGTTGGAAAGAAATACATAGAGGCTAAAGAGCATCCTACTAAAGAATGAAGGGGTCAACCAGGAAATTAAAGAAGAATTTTAAAAAATTCATGGAAACAAATGAAAATGAAAACACAACTAACTGTTCAAAATCTTTGGGATGCAGCAAAGGCAGTCCTAAGAGGAAAGTATATAGCAATACAAGCCTTTCTCAAGAAACAAGAAAGGTCTCAAGTACACAACCTAACCCTACACCTAAAGGAGCTGGAGGAAGAACAGCAAATAAAGCCTAAACCCAGCAGGAGAAGAGAAATAATAAAGATCAGAGCAGAAATCAATGAAATAGAAACCAAAAGAACAGTAGAACAGATCAATGAAACTAGGAGCTGGTTCTTTGAAGGAATTAAGATTGATAAACCCCTGGCCAGACTTATCAAAAAGAAAAGAGAAAGGACCCAAATGAATAAAATCATGAATGAAACAGGAGAGATGACAACCAACACCAAAGAAATACAAACAATTATAAGAACATCTTATGAGCAACTATATGCCAACAAATTAGACAATCTGGATGAAATGAATGCATTCCTAGAGACATATAAACTACCAAAACTGAAGAAGGAAGAAATAGAAAACCTGAACAGACCCATAACCAGTAAGGAAAGTGAAGCAGTCATCAAAAATCTCCCAACAAACAAGAGCCTAGGACCAGATGGCTTCCCAGGGGAATTCTACCAAACATTTAAAGAACAATTAATACCTATTCTTCTGAAACTGTTTCGAAAAATAGAAATGGAAGGAAAACTTCCAAACTCGTTTTATGTGGCCAGCATTACCTGGATCCCAAAACCAGACAAAGACCCCATCAAAAAGGAGAATTACAGACCAATATACCTGATGAACATGGATGCAAAAATTCTCACCAAAATACTAGCCAATAGGATCCAACAGTACATTAAAAGGATTATTCATCACGACCAAGCGGGATTTATTCCTGGGCTGCAAGGTTGGTTCAATATCCACAAATCAATCAATGTGATACAATACATTAATAAAAGCAATAACAAGAACCATATGATCTTCTCAATAGATGCAGAAAAAGCTTTTGACAAAGTACAGCATCCTTTCTTGATCAAAACTCTTCACAGTGTAGGGATACAGGGTACATACTTCAATATCATAAAAGCTATCTATGAAAAACCCACAGCGAATATCATTCTCAATGGGGAAAAACTGAGACCTTTTCCCCTAAGGTCAGGAACACGGCAGGGATGTCCACTATCACCACTGCTATTCAACATAGTATTAGAAGTTCTAGCCACAGCAATCACACAACAAAAAGAAATAAAAGGCATCCGAATCAGCAGTCAAACTCTCACTCTTTGCAGATGATATGATACTTTATGTGGAAAACCCAAAAGACTCCACCCCAAAACTGCTAGAACTCATACAGGAATTCAGTAAAGTGGCAGGATATAAAATCAAGGCACAGAAACCAGTGGCATTCCTATACACCAACAATAAGACAGAAGAAAGAGAAATTAAGGTGTTGATCCCATTTACAATTGCATCCAAAACCATAAGATACCTAGGAATAAATCTAACCAAAGAGGCAAAGGATCTGTACTCCGAAAACTATAGAATACTCATGAAAGAAATTGAGGAAGACACAAAGAAATGGAAAAACGTTCCATGCTCATGGACTGGAAGAACAAATAGTGTGAAAATGTCTATGCTACCTAGAGCAATCGACACATTTAATGCAATCCCTATCAAAATACCAACCACTTTTTTCAAAGAAATGGAACAAATAATCCTAAAATTTGTATGGAACCAGAAAAGGTCCCGAATAGCCAGAGGAATGTTGAAAAAGCAAAGCAAAGCTGGTGGCACCACAATCCCGGACTTCAAGCTCTATTACAAAGCTGTCATTATCAAGACAGTATGGTACTGGCACAAAAACAGACACAGAGATCAATGGAACAGAATAGAGAGCCCAGAAATAGACCCTCAACTCTATGGTCAACATATCTTCAACAAAGCAGGAAAGACTGTCCAATGGAAAAAAGACAGTCTCTTCAACAAATGGTGTTGGGAAAATTGGACATTCACATGCACAAGAATGAAACGGGACCATTTCCTTACACCACACACAAAAATAGACTCAAAATGGTTGAAAGACCTAAATGTGAGAAAGGAATCCATCAAAATCCTTGAGGAGAACACAGGCAGCAACCTCTTTGACCTCAGCCGCAGCAACTTCTTCCTAGACACATCACCAAAGATAAGGGAAGCAAGGGCAAAAATGAACTATTGGGACTTCATCAAGATAAAAAGCTTTTGCACAGCAAAGGAAACAGTCAACAACCAAAAGACAACAGACAGAATGGAAGAAGATATTTGCAAATGACATATCAGAAAAAGGGCTAGTATCCAAAATCTATAAAGAACTTATCAAACTCAACACCCAAAGAACAAATAATCCAAGAAATGGGCAGAAGACATGAACAGACATTTCTGCAAAGAAGACATCCAAATGGCCAACAGACACATGATAACGTGCTCAACATCACTTAGCATCAGGGAAAAACAAATCAAAACCATAATAAGATACCACCTCACACCAGTCAGAATGGCTAAAATTAACAAGTCAGGAAACGACAGATGTTGGCAAGGATGTGGAGAAAGGGGAACCCTCCTACACTGTTGGTGGAAATGCAAACTGGTGCAGCCACTCTGGAAAACAGTATGGAGGTTCCTCAAAAAGTTGAAAATAGAGCTACCATATGATCCAGCAATTGCACTACTGGGTATTTACCCCAAAGATATAAAGGTAGTGATCCAAAGGGGCACATGCACCCCAATGTTTATAGCAGCAATGTCCACAATAGCCAAACTATGGAAAGAGCCTAGATGTCCATCAACAGATGAATGGATAAAAAAGATGTGGTGTATATATATATACAATGGAATATTATGCAGCCATCGAAAAAATGAAATCTTGGCATTTGCAACAACGTGGATGGAACTAGAAGGTATTATGCTAAGCGAAATAAGTCAATCAGAGAAAGACAATTATCATATGACCTCACTGATACATGGAATTTGAGAAATAAGACAGAGGATCATAGGGCAATGGAGGGAAAAATGAAACAAGACAAAACCAGAGAGGGAAACAAACCATAAGAGACTCTTAATCATAGGAAACAAACTGAGGGTTGCTGGAGTGGAGGGGGGCTGGGAGGGATGGGGTGGCTGGTGATGGACACTGGGGAGGGTATATGCTATGGTGAGCGCTGTGAATTGTATAAGACTGATGAATCACAGACCTGTACTCCTGAAACAAATAATACATTATATGTTAATAAAAAAAAAAAAGTAGCAGTACTGATATAACCTTGATACTAAAAACCAGTTGTTTCTGATTCCAAAACATGTGTTCTTTTCCACAAATCTAAAGAAACAGTTTTTAAAAATTTCATCAGGCTACAAGCCACTCCAAACCAAAATGTTGTCATTGTAAATTTTTTTTTAATTAATTTTAAAAAGAGCTCCCTTTGACCTTTGTCATCCTAAAGGAATTCAAGGCAATTCTTCTTATAACCACTAGAGGACACTCATCACAAGCCTTTCAAACTATAAATGACATCCTTTGGGGTTCTCATCCCATTCAGGTCTATGATCGCCTTCATTCTTACTCTCCAGTTAAACTTTAACACAGGATTTATATTTTATAGGTTCCCCTAACATAGGTTTTATATGACCATAAACATAGAAATACTGGAAGATGAACATTTTCATCTTATTAACAAAATAGTCATTCAAAATATTATAACCAAGTAAATATATGAATAACAACAACAAATGACCCATAAAGGTCATTTCAAAGATAAAGGGCAATCAAGTTATTCTGGCAAAAACATAATAGAAAAATGTAATTTATCAACGTTTTAAATCATGTACTATTTGAGAGTATTTTGAAGTCCTATGGTCCAGGGATCAAATCCTAGCTCTCCATGTACTAGCTGTGTAACCATGGACAATTTACTTAATCTGTGACACAAGTAATAATATCTCCCTCACAAGACACTGATAAAGATTAAATGAGATAAAATACTAAAGGCATGTAAATATAATTATCATATAGTAAATGCACAATCAATGGTAATGTTATATTCTCATAGTCGGTATAGAAACATGAACGTCAGTTCATACATTTGTTATATATGCAGGTAGCCTGGCAATCATCCTATCCAAAGTAAAGTCTTAGGACCAAGTTGACTTAAAACAGAATGACTAATGACTAGGATATTTGAAGCATCAAAAGTATTTTGGCTAAGTTACATGAAGCTTCTTGATCTGTGTTTCCAAAAGGCCACATGTAGATTTTTTCTCTTCCAATGTCTTTTTAAGTTCAACAATTTTTGTTTCAAGGGCTTGTTTTTCTTCTGAATTAATTTCTCCTTTTAACCGAGACATTCGGCGTTCCACTTGTTGAATGTAAAAATCCTGTTACATTTTTAAAAACAGATAGTAAGGAGAAACAAACAGTTAAAACCATTTCCATAAATGTAAAAACACAATAAACACTTTCTTAAAGTTTAGTCTTAAGTGTCATCATTTACTAAAGTCATTTTAATTCTTCAGTACAAAATCCTTTTTAACTCTAAGTAGAAAAACAGCAAACTATTCTTCAACAATCAAGGTACAGGATAGTGACATGAAAGTAAGTAATCTTCTGAAAATATAAGAAATCAGCTAGGAGGGTATTTACCATACCACTAGGATGGAACCTCAGTAAATCCACTGGATTTACATGGACATGGATTTTTGAGGGCACATTTTCTAAGGGATACAAAAAAGTCACAAATTGTTAGCCATGAATGGCTCAAATATGATGAACTTCCAGTGAATTATTTTTAAAATAATACTTTAACATCTGTAATTTTGAGAAACTACGACATTAGATGAGGAAATTAAGATGTAGAGAGGGATGACACTAAAGAATTAACATGAGACAGAATATATAAATGGAACAAAGAAGGAAAAATGTCTAAAGTGCTTTTAAACTACTAGTCAGGGGTTGGGGTAAGGAAGCCTGTGTTTGCGTGTCTAAGACTCAACATACGGTTTTTCCAGGTTTCAGAGAGCCCACTCCTTGGATTGTTTTACTCCAGGCCCAATTGCCCCAGGTTCCTTTAAAGCATGATTGTCCCTCCCTGGAGTTGTCTATCCTCTGACCTGTTTATTTCAGATCAAGAAAAAAAAAAACAGGTTTTAAGGCTCCCTTACCCCACTGCTGACCAAACATGATATCCTATTTCAGTATCTGTCTGTCCCTCCAAGAGTGCTTTAAAAATCTTTGTTTTTTCAGGACGCTGTGGTATCTGGACTGTCACAACTATAACAAATCAATATGGAAGACATTCGTAAGATTAACATCTACCTGACTGTACATAATTTCTTGCTGTTTCAAGGTTTCAAAATCCAGTTTATGTAACTGATGGTTGAGGTGCTTTAGAGAGGAACGAGTTCCTTCAATTTCTGATACAACAGCTTTTTCTTTCATTGTCTCAGTCTGTAATTCCTGAACTTTCTTAAATAGCACATCTTTCACTATGTTCAATTGAACTTCCACTTCCTGAGGATAAGAATAATAGTGATCAATGAAATTATAATACCTTGAAATGTTTTATTATATAAACATTATAATCTGGGGGGTCATAAATTAACCCCCCAACATTTCAGCCCTTGAGAATATAAGAATGCCCTTCCCACAATTTCAACAAATCTCCAACATCTTATAATCTACTCTATTCCAGTAACTTGATCTGTCATCTTAATTCTACACCGTGTCATTCTACACCTTAGAACTTGGCTATTCCACTGGTTTCCTTATATATAGCAGAGACGCACAACTTTTAAGTTCACAGAATTTGCTGTAGTCTTGAGGGTGTTACAGGAAAGAAATCACATAGCTCAATCTCCCACCTTCTTTTGGGCACTCTCCAGTGGTGAGCAGGTAAATGTTTAACCACCAGCTTTCCAATGGATGGGAGGTTAGGGGGAAGAAGCTGATTTTCATTTTATAAATATTCCCATCATGGCCAATTTCAAGCTACTAACATGATTCTGCTAAATGCAGATTTGGAAAGAGATATGCAGTAGCAGACCATTACATAGCATTTCCACTATACAGATATAATAAATGTAAGTAATCTTAAGTACCCTTAAGAGCATAAATAGATAATAGTAAAATCTAATTTAGAAGTGATGAGTGTTTATTACTTTGTTTTAAATATTATGTATTTAATTGTAAGTCTACATAATTTAATTTTCAATAGCAGCCATGTTTAGCAGCTGACTTGCAAAATTCCAGAAAATTTAACTATCAACTCTCATGAGCTGGTAAGGGCTGGCCCCAACACACTACTGGCACCTTCATTCACACCTTTTCTCTAGTCGGCCCCCCTACATGTGCAGCCTTCTAGGAAACAGAAACCAGTCCCCCATTCCTACTGCTCATTTCTCAAGAGGCAGATCTGTCTTGACCTTAAGGCTCCATGACAAGTGTTCTAGGCTTCAAATAGATCTCCCATGCCAAGCAAGATCTGTTGAAAGTTATCATTTTAATTGTCGAAATAATTTCCCTCGTGCTCTTATGCCCAGAGAAGCATATTTCCTTTTGGCAACCAATGAACCTCAATATGAAAACAAAATCTATGATTAGCACATTTAAATTTTGACATATTGAGAAATATAATCTTTAAAATGCCTTTTTTATATAATAGACAATTTTCATTAGTTTTAAGACCTTCTCAAAGATTGCCTGGCAGTTTTAAAGTCAGTGCTTGGTGGTGAATAACATAATCCATCACCAAAACATACAGGATTAGGATTCTTCCAAACAAAGAAAAACTAACAGCTACAAAAACCAAGATTATGAATAAACCTCTGAGACAGCACAAGTAGCACACATGCTGCCAATCCCATTTTTTCTAATTAAGCTAATTTCTTAAAAAATGTCACCAGTTTTTAATGTCATCATCAAAAGGTCTATTTCATATGGATTTCAGTCTTTGCAGATTTCTAATAAGTTCTAATATTGTCCTATCTCAGTGCTACAGAAAGTCAAGCTCTTAGGAGGAAAAAAACCATTTTTTTTTAAATAATGTGATTTAGACTCCTATGCCACTCAAGTCAAGACTGCCGCATGACTTCATTATTCAGAGATTTTGAACATTCAACAGCACACTGAAAAAGCTTGATTTTATCCAAATATAAGTGAAACCATACTTGACATTTAGCAAATGAGGGATTTTGCCATGATCTTCAGCTGCCCCTCAGAAAGAGCAGAAGCCAGAAGTAGTGCCAATAGGGTCAGGTCACAGAAGTCACTTGGAAGTTTTCAAAGAGGAAATGGTGAACCAGCCTTTCCCAGTTTCTCAAAATTGGCCTAAATGCTACCAAGATGCCAAAGACATCCCAGTAGAGTTAGTAAAGTAGAACACTTAAGAGTCCATTTACTTATAAATGGTGCCAGACTGTCAGAGATAATAAATGATAAAGAAATACAGGGAAGGAATGTAGACCACTGGGGGGCATTGGATCACAAACAAAAAAAACAAATGATAACCAACTGTAAGGGTAGAAATCAATTTTAAAACATGGGCATTTTTCAAGGTATGTCTGCAATATAAGAGCATATATATGAATGACAAGCAGAGACACACCAGGCATTGGGAAGGCACGACATCTCAAGTGGAGGGCTACCTTTGAAAGAAGACAGCCAAGGCAAATGCCAAAAGTGAAGCAAAAGGAGAAGTAGAAGCTTTAAGAGAGAAGGCCAGAAACATCTTCGGAAGCCACATACAAAAAGGGGGTCCAACAACTCAAAATTCTGATTACAAATGTGGTCACACCAGAAAGCAGAGCCTCTTAAAAGACCTCCTACTCCCTAATTACAAGAGTCTAATTCACTATTGCTAGATTCTCTGTGACTGTTTTTTTGTTTGTTTTTGTTTTTTTGTAGTTTTTAATTTTATTATATTATGTTAGTCACCATACAATACATCATTAGTTTTCGATGTAGTGATCCACGATCCATTGTTTTCATATAACACCCAGTGCTCCATGCAGTACGTGCCCTCCTTAATACCCATCACCAAGCTAACCAATCCCCCCTCCCCCCGTCCCTCTAGAACCCTGTTTGTTTCTCAGGTCCATAGTCTCTCATGGTTCATCTCTCCCTCCAATTCCCCCCTCCCATTTTTCCCTTCCTTCTCCTAATGTCCTACATGTTATTCCTTATGTTCCACAAATAAGTGAAACCATATGATAATTGACTTTCTCTGCTTAACTTATTTTGCTTAGCATAATCTCCTCCAGTCCCATCCATGTGATGTAAAAGTTGGGTATTCATCTTTTCTGATGGCTGAGTAATATTCCATTGTATATATGGACCACATCTTCTTTATCCATTCATCTGTTGAAGGGCATCTTGGCTCTTTCCACAGTTTGGCTATTGCAGACATTGCTGCTATGAACATTGGGGTGCATATGGCCCTTCTTTTCACTACATCTGTGTCTTTGGGGTAAATACCCAGGAGTGCAATTGCTGGGTCATAGGGTAGCTCTATTTTTAAATTTTTGAGGAACCTCCACACTGTTTTCCAAAGTGGCTGTACCAACTTGGATTCCCACCAACAGTGTAAGAGGGTTCCCCTTTCTCCACAACCTCTCCAACATTTGTTGTTTCTTTCCCTGTCCATTTTGGCCATTCTAACCGGTGTAAGGTGGTATCTCAGTGTGGTTTTGATTTGGATTTCCCTGATGGCTAATGATGATGAATATCGGTGACTGTTTAAGAACTAAAACTAAACTTTACCTTTACACTTTTTTCCTCCTCCCTTAGCATATCTTCCAAATTGGTAGCTTTTTCTTCTACAGACATTGTTTTCTCAGTTATCTGCTTTAATTTTTTTTTTACAATCTGATTATGATTTTTAATTTTCTGTAACCTAGAGAGAATTTATGGGGAAAAATAGAAAACATGTCTAAAAAGTAATACAAACATAGAATAGCTTATCCTAAGATTTCTTCATATAACCTGAAGGTTTCTTTTTTTTTTTTTTTTTTTAGATTTTATTTATTTAACAGAGAGAGACATAGCGGGAGCAGGAACACAAGCAGGGGGAGTGGGAGAGGGATAAGCAGGCTTCCCGCAGAGCGGGAAGCCCGATGTGGGACTCGATCCCAGGACCCTGGGATCATGACCTGAGCCGAAGGCAGACGCTTAACGACTGAGCCACCCAGGCGCCCATAACCTGAAGGTTTCTTTTGCCATAAACCTAAACCTTTTTATTACCTTTCTGGAAACCTTATATATTTATTGAATGTATATTTAATAAGTCATAAAAATATTGTTCCTAAGCCCTTACAAAGAAAAACCCAGGAAAAACTTTTTGTCAAGTTTAATAATTCAGTAGCCATCAGTTTACAATTATTTAACAAAAGCTTAAATATTTAATAATTTTTCTAGTGGTCAAAAACTAGGGAGCTTGGGTAGCTCAGTCAGTTAAGCATTCAACTCTTGATTTTAGCTCAGGGTGTGATCTGAGGGTCATGAGATCGAGCCCTGCATCTTGTCCCTCTCCCTCTGCTCTTCCCTCTACTTGTTCTCTCTCCCTCTCTCAGATAAATAAATAAATAAAATCTTTAAAAAAACATAAGTAGTCAAAAACTATAAACATATTTAAATATCTTTTTTCTTACCTTGCTGCTTCTTCATGAATGTCCTTCTTTATTTTGGAAATATTTTTCCTCATAGCTTCTAAATCACTGGAACTTCTATTCACAGTGGCTTTTAAAGAATCCAGCTATTCATTAGTTAACAGACAAAAATTACATACTTACTCTACATCTTATATAAATTAATTTCATTTTTGAGAAGTTCTATTCTGAACATGTTAGTTTTTAACCTACATCACATCCATAAATACAGTGGCCATGTTGCTGTAATCCATATAACCAGTTTTTCTTTTTGATCTGATATTACATTTTAAATGACTTATTTCATGATACTGGCAAATTACAGAGTCCTACATAGATGCATGAAAGGTACTTAGAGCAAAAGCTTCACAGTATTGGATTTGGCAATAATTTCTTGGATATGACAGGCAACAAAAGAAAAAAAGACAAATTGGACTTCATCAAAATTTAAAACTTCTGTGCATCAAAAGACAATATCAACACAGTTAAAAGGCACTCCATAAAATGGAGAAAATACTTGCAAATCATACACCTGATAAGAGATTATCTAGAATATATAGATAATTTCTAAAACTCACCACCACCACCACCACCAACAAAAAAACCCAAACTGATTCAAAATGAGGAAAGGACTTGAATAGACACTTCTCCAAAGAAGATACACTAATAAAAAATGCTCAACAGCATCAATCATTATGGATATGCAAATCAAAACTACAATGAAATACCACCTCACACCCTTCCATAAGGATGGCTACTACCAAAAAAAGAAAAAAGAAAAAAAGGAAAGAACAAGCGTTGGCGAGAATGTGGAGAAACTAGAACTTTTGTGCACCATCGGTGGGAATATAAAATGGTACAGCCACTACAGAAAACAGTATGGTGGTCCCTCAAAAAATTAAAAACATAATTACCATAAGTACCATCCAGCAATTCTGAGATAACTGTACACCCATGTTCATAGCAGCATTATTCACAATAGTTAAAACATAACAGCAACCCAAGTGTCCGCTGACAGATAAATGGAGAAGCAAAACGTGATATATACATACAATGGAATAGTATTCAGCCCTAAAAAGTAACAAAAATTTGACATCTGCTACAACACAGATAAACCTTGAGGACATTATGCTAAGTGAAATAAATGAAATAACCCAGTCACAAAACAATAAATACTGATTTCATGCATATGAAGTACTTAGTCTCATAGAGACAGAAAGTAGAATGGTAGTTGCTAGGAGCTGGGAGGAGGGGTGGAATGGGGAGTTATTGTTTAATTAGTATGCAGTTTCAGTTTTACAAGAAGAAAAGAGTTATGGAGATGGATGGTGGTGATGGTTGCATAACATTAGGAACATATTTAATACCACTGAACTGTATGCTTGAAAATGATTAAGATGGTAAAGTGTACATTATGTGTACTTTATCTCAATTTTTAAAAATATTATATTTATTTATTTGAGAGAGAGTGAAAGAGAGAGAACATGAGCAGGGGGAGGGGCAGAGGAAGAAGCAGATTCCCCGCTGAGCAAGGAGCCCGATTCGGGGCTCGATCCCAGGACCCTGGGATCATGATCTGAACTGAAGGCAGATGTTTAACTGACTGAGCTATCCAGGTGCCCCTATTTTACCTCAAATTTAAAATTTGGAGGAAAGAAATGAATGAAGTACTGATGCATACTACAACATGGATGAACCTTGAAAACATTATGTAAGTAAAAGAATCCAGACATGAAGTGCTCCATAGTATATTATTTCATTTATATGAAATATCCAAAATAGGCAAATCCACAGAGACAGAAAGTAGATTAGCAGTTGCCAGGGCTGAGTAGGAGGAAGGAAGCAATGTGATTGCTAATGCGCAAGGGGTTTCTTTTTGAAAGACAAAAATAGTCTAAAAAATTAGATAGTGGTGATGGTTGCACATTCTATGAAATATTAAAAACCACTGAATTGTATACTTTAAAAGGGCAAATTATTATATGTGAATTATACCTCAATAAGCAAATTATGAATGAATGAATGAATCCCTGCATTCTTTAATGCAATTGGTTTAAACTTAAAAATTTTTAAGAATGAACTGTTATCGGTGACATTTAATTTAGGCAAGAAATTTGCTTATTTTATTTTTTTAGGACCGTAAGTAATTATTCTTTTTGGACAGAAAAAAATCTTTCCTTCTTTATCAGAAATTAAAAGTATAACAACTTGTAGAATGAAATGCTCTACAATATTCCAATTTCCTGCCTAAACAGTAGTAACTTCAGATAATGTGGCCTCAAGGCACAAATTTCAAAAAGATCCCTTTATTGCTAACTAAAGGGATCACTAACACTCCCTATGGAACAATCTAGTTGGCCATGTGTGCCTGCAAAAGAAGAAAAGAACAAAGCAGAAGTTTTGTTCTCTGTTTCAAGGTATTTTACCACTACACTGTCTCACTACTGGACTGAAATATTATCCCTTCACAAGGGGAGAAACTGAACTTAAGCAAATAACTCCACCTAGAATTTGAGTCAAAACCACCATACACATGTAGCACTGAAAAGACACTTCAGGTAATCACTAATGTCGATATTCATCTTCACGTCTGCCCATGGGCCAGTTATAATCATGATTTCAGTCTAGACCTTCAGGAGCCTTTTGCCTCAGTCACTTACAAAACTCCATATCCATTGGGCAAGTTGTGTGCTCCACGACTTCAGGGGGAGACCTTCACACCACCTGTGGTATGCCTGGCACCTACCCCCCACCCCCGTTGCTTTCACCAAGCAGGGCTCAATTGCAGTACCCTAAAAGTTCCACAACATGAAGGGACATAAGAAAAAAGAACTAGAAGGCAATTAATTCCTTAATCAAAAGAGCTTTTATGCTTATTTTTTAATAGTTTGTCATAAACACACAAGCCACTCTTTTTAGTTGACATACCTCATCTTTCAGCTGATTTCTGTTAGTTTCATGACGTTGATACTCCGTTCTACATTTTAAAAGTTTACGATCAGCAACAGAAATTTTTTTCTCATACTCTGTGTTATTCCAAATTTCACTTTCCAAAAACTTGATCTTTTCTTTAACCAAATTTTCTTTTTCTCTTATTTCCTGCTTTATCCTTGCTAATGCCTAAGGTTTAAAAATATGGTAAATATATGTTTAATGCAAAGAACAAAACAAAAAGGAATTTAGTTTTTATTTTTCTATATTCCGTATTTTTATAAAACTTCTTAAGACAATATTTTCTTTTAAAAAGTCTATTTTGGGGGCACCTGGATGACTCAGTCAGTTAAGCATCCAACTCTTGATCTCAGCTCAGGTCTTGATCTCAAGGTCGTGAGTTCAAGCCCTGCACTGTGCTCCACACTGGGTGTGGAGCCTACTTCAAAAAAAAAAGAGAGAGAGAGAGTCTATTTTTATATGAATAAAAACAAAGTATTAATATGTTACACATCAGTATCTATAAGCTCATTTTTTTTGAAGATCTTGTTTTCTTTCATCTGGTACTTTGCTAAAGAGATGAGAAAAATGTCAAGCTTTTATAAACAAAAGGTGGTATCTAAAAAATATAACATTGTTGAATATTTTTACATAGAAAGTTGGATTTCAATTATTTTTTTCCAAATATTTCATAGGACCAGTTTTTTTTCATCTTTTGAGAATAATATTTTAGTTACTGGTTTCAATAGGAATGCTTTTCACTCAGGCCTTTTGCTGGTCTTGGAGAATAAAAATAAATAGAATATACAAGGTAGTAACTGAGATGTGGACAAAGCACCATGGGAAAAAGAGATGATGAAGTCTACCCAAGAGGAATTACTAAAAGGCATTACTTAAGAGGCTTCTCTTAAGTTAGGCCTAAAAGATAAATGGAGATGCATAAATACTCTAATGTGGTTAAATCGTAGGGAGGGCAGGGATGGAATGGGGATATATTAAGAAGGGGTGGGTACAAATGAAAGGAATGAGGCTGGAAAGGTAGAGGTTAGGGCCCAATTGTGAAAAAAATCAATTTTTTTAACTGCCATGTTAGAGGTTCAATTTTTAAGCAATGTGGAACAAAGAAGATTTTAGAGCTGAGGAATAAAAAAGCTCATATGTGGTTTTTATAAGTGATGTTGATAGCAACATGTTAGAGGAATTGGAGGAAAAAGATAATTTTACCCTAAGATGTAATTCCAAAATGGGGTCCCACCAAACAATCCCAGAAAATTGGGTTGGGGGAGGGTGTATGTTCTGAAATGAGTAAGTTTTAGAAATCTGTATGTAATACTGTACATATTAGCATATTAAATGGATATATATTTGAAATGTACTACATTTTTTTAAAGATTTTATTTGAGAGAGAGAGAACATGAGCAGGGGAGTGGGATAGGGCAGAGGGAGAAGGAGAAGTGGGGAGTGGGGTAGGGCAGTGGGGGAGCGGGGTAGGGCAGAGGGCAGAGGGAAAGGGAGAAGCAGGCTCCCCACTGAGCAGGGAGCCCGACTCTCGGGGCTCGATCCCAGGACCCTGAGATCATGACCTGAACCGAAGACAGATGCTTAACCGACTGAGCCACCCAAGCACCCCTGAAATGCATTACATTTAAAAAGGCACTGTAAATTTATTTAATCCCATATGTTGTCTATAACAGTTAACACTCTATAATGTAGCATTCTATATATACACTGTGTTCATTCAACCAAAGACAGGTCAAAACATCCTAAGTTTATGTATGTCAAATGATCATTCTAGAACTTCCTGCCTTATATTGATTTTCTATGACTTAAACAGATACTTTAATATCTACTTCAACCTTCTCATCTACTCACAGTTAAGTTTTTTGTAGGTGACACTGATAAGTACAGTAATTTTCTATACTGGAGTATCCCAGAATTTCTATACTGGAATAAAAGCATAATAGAAAAATATTTTTCCTTTTCTATATAATGTAAAAGTTTCTCTCAAGAAGCCAATTTCACATTCATATGCTCAGACTCCTGCCAAGAAGACACTAAGAAGGCAGGAAATGTTTTGGAGGAAAAGGAACAAAAGATCAAATCCTCTGGTGGTGTAAACTGGATCTCATTGGCTCACCAGCACTGACTGACACATCTCTTCTCAACTCTGTGTTGAATGGAGTCACGTTGGTATGGAAGTAGTTTCCCCACAGAAATCAGAAATGCTACAAATGGGAAGCCAGTTGTTAAACACTCAGAAGCATACCACTACATATGAAGCCACTTCTTAGCACCCACCCTATTCCCTTACAATAAAGACAACCAGGAGATGTCCATAAGGAGCCATAGTGAATATGACCAGAGAGCTACAAGTTGTATATTCTGCCAAATCAGCATGCTGAGTCAATTTAGCTGTGGGGTTGTATAAGAATGCAATTGTGGATCTGCAATCTTGGATCTGTCACATTTGATCTACACAGAGGAAGAGTCAGGACTTGATGTCTGAAACCAAGATCAGCATTAAGAATTAAGAGGAACTCATAGTTAAGACTGGTTCTCCCTTGTCCCTCCAAGGAAGTCATAGGCCATTTTGTTGATAAAATGTTGGTTACTTATAGAAATTTAAAATAAAAGAATAATTTACATATAAGTCACATATAGCAAGTAAATCTCATACAGATATGAGAATTCCAAACTCCCAAAGACCTAAGCTGCTTGCCTTTCCATGGAGTAGACACAGAATGGAAGTTAACATATCCTCAATTCCTTCTCCTTCCCAACTCTCCCTAATCTTCCCATTTTTACTCACCACCATTTTGCCCTTCAATGACTTTCTAAAAAACGTCTCCTAAATTACCTCTGAAAGTAGCAAAGATAACACTAGGTCCGTGTTTAATCGGTGTGGTACTCCTTCCCTTCCAAGCTTCTACCCTATTATGGGTGCCTCAGTTTCAAAAGTGAAACTTTATCACAGTCTAGGTTTCTTTCCTGATTCTCCCTTTTTGTTTCTTGGCCAACCATGACACTCATTTCCCTACACCAGTGATTACTTCAAATAGCACATAAATATTAAGTCCAAAGCACCTTGGGCAACCATGTGTAAGTCAGAGCATTGGTTTTACTGCACTAACATTATCTATTGACTTTCTCTTGTTCCACATTTCAGAGTGGCAGGATCTAGTCTTCAGCATTATAATACCATAAGTAAATAATCCTCATAAAATCACATATCTAAATGGAAAGAGTCAGCTTTGAAAAACATTTACCAAAACTACTGAACCCTACTACAAAAGTGATGTTCAAATAACAATGTGAGTTACGTTTGAAATGAATGAGTTAAATACAAAAGAGAATAACACAGTTGAACATTGCAAGGACCAAACAACTACTTTACCAAGGCACCATTATCAATGTCTCGATCTCTCTTCTGCATCTGCTCTATTGTGTTCTCCCACTGTTTAATGAGTTCTTGTCTTTCATTATGAATCTTACGAAAATCTTGTGCTGCTTTATCCAATTCTAACTGTCAGATAGAGAGCAAATAACATTTTTGTGAATTTAAGTGCTTTTGCATACATCCCTTCGACAATTAAGAAATAAAAATCTTCACTAAACTAACCTGTGCACTTAGAGTCTCCGTAAGTTCGTTGTCAAGTACCTTTCTTCTCTGATTACATTCCAAAGTCAGTCTTTCTAATTGCAGGGTCAGTGCCTATGATGTAGTTGTATGTAAAAATATTCAAAATTATCATTTAACTTAAAAGCTATTAATATATCTCACATTAAGTACTATTATATTATAGATACACACCTATTTGCTATCTAAAACAATTACAAAACAATACATACATTATCCTTTAACCCCAAAGGGCTGCAATGAAAACTCAATTGTTTCTAAAAAGACTTTTAATACTTTTTAAAGTTAGAAAAAAAAATAAACAATAATTTGCCATTTAAAATTATTTAAAATAATGCATTTGGTATTAAATCTATTAGAAAATAGCATGTTTCATAATACTAATGTATTAATACATTTATTACAAGTAGATTTTAAGTAATGGTTATAATAATATATTAAATAATAGCACTATAGTCTCAAATCAGCAAACACTGTATATTACATTCAAACTATTATTTAGACAGAAGTTGTTAAATTACTTATACATAATTCTAATATAAAATTTTCTTCTCTGAAATGTTTTTTGAAAACTTTTCTCAATCAGGATTCTTAACCTGGAGTCTGTGGATCCCTAAATGGTCAGAGGGTTTCAGCAAAATTTTATGAGTATTTGAGTATAGTCACTTTTCTAAAGAGAGGATCCTTGGCTTTATTAGACTGTCAAAGGAGTCTCTGACGTAAAAAAAAGTTTAAGAACTACAGCTTTTAAATTACAAATCTAATTCAAAAAAAGGGTTCACATACTACAGATTCAGAGAAAGCCTAAGATTACAATTTATAATTTCTCACCCTAATTTTATTATCATCTTGTTGTGCATACTTCTGAAGAGTGAGGGCATCACTATCTTTATGAGCTGATTCTTCTAACCAGGCTTCCAATGCTTGCTGGTCCCAGTTCATTTGACATTTCAAACCATCCAATTTTTGAGTAGTTTTAAATATGTTATTCTAATTTCCAAAGAAAGGGGGCAGGGAGAGATTACAGAATATTATTTACTACACAAACTAAAATAAAACGTAGTATTACATACTACAGAACATATTAAAAAGGAAAGAAGAAATCCTGTCCCTTTCCCAACTTCCAGATATATATAATGCACTATATTTCATTATATAACAACCATACTTGTATTTAATTCTTCAGTTGTAATAGAGGGGAAATGATTATACAAGGTTGAGAATAACAGTTGAGTCAAAGATGGCTTAAAAAGGCTTTAGGGAAAGTCTCCCCAGAGCAATCTCTAATGTTAGTCACTCCACCAAATCCATCCCATGTGGATATACAATCTTAGTAAAAATAATGTGCTTGATAAGCTAACTCAAGCCCAAGTCAAGGCCCCATCAGCTCCATTTCCAATCAGATTCTTGCCTCTAAGAGGCTTCTTCTACAGAAATTTTGAAAGTAGTTTTAATTGAAATAAATATAGTTGTTAAGAAGATAAAAATATTTCTGTAAGTGAATAAGTCAGTCAGAGAAAGACAAATACCATATGATTTCACTCATATGTGGAATTTAAGAAACAAAACGGATGAACATAGGGGAAGGGAAGGAAAAATAAAATAAGATGGAAATTGAGAGGAAGGCAAACCATAAGAGACACTAAACTCTAGGAAACAAACTGAGGGTTGCTGGAGGAGAGGTGGGTAGGGGGAAGGGATAATTGGGTGATGGGCATTAAGGAGGGCACTTGATATAATGAGCCCTGGATGTTATATGCAACTGATAAATCACTAAATTCTACCTCTGAAACTAATAAAAAAATTTTTCTGTAAATGTATTCATTTAACAAATCTAGAGTCATAAAAGAAAGCAGATCAATATGCAAATAAATATAAATTAATATAATAAAATGTGTATGTACGCATATGCATATACATGTGCGTTTCTATATGTATATGCACATATAAAGAGAAGAATTGAATTTAGAATGAGCTCCCAAATCAAGCAACTAAAAACAAAGGAAAAGAGAAAAAGAGGTTATAGTAGTTTAATATTAGAGTTACAGGCTAAATTAATATGAAAGGTAAAAATTTTGAATGAAAAATGAAACTCAGTATTAAAAGTAAGTTTTTTAATGTGGCCCTTTAAAAATATATGAATAAATTAGCCTAGTATCATATGATACTTCTGAATAAATTATGACTAGTATCACATAATAGACAGCCAGTGAGGTACTCTGCACATGGTGGCTCAATGACTATTTGGTAAATGAATAGTGGGAAAATAAATATAACATTCTATCGTTGCATTCAAATGACAACTCTACATGCCTTTCATTGTCCAAAAAACAATGTAAGTAAATGTCAGGAAACTAATGAATGTCTTTCTCATACAGAAAAAAAATCACTGTTTGTTTGGTGAGGGAAGAAAGAACAATAGCACAAAATTTTAAGTAACATTTCAATACATACTTCCTTATCACTTTTCTTTTCCTGTATTGAAGCCATTTCATTTTCCAGTCGTTGGATTTCATCCTTCACTCGTCCCAGTTCTCTTTCAGCAATGATCCTAAAATGCTCTTCACTTTCAATCTCATGCTCCCTGGCTTTACAAAGAGACTACAGAATAATTTACGAGATAGAAAAACATTTTAATTTTTAATATTATAAAATATTTATAATAATCCATTAGCCCCCCAAAAAAGTTCCCACAAAATACTGAGATTAAGTACTATTAATTCCACTTCCCTGAAACCTAAACCATGTTAGACTTTATGGTTCAGTGTACTTTGTGCTGTGTCCTAGTTGTAAGAAAGTCAATTCATGGAATGACCTAGGAGAAAATACTGTTGTCAGCAATTTTCAGATATTATGTTAGTCTAGGGAAATTGAAGAAAACCAAAGTTAATAATGGTAAGACTTAAAAGAGATATAACTCATTACTTACCTAAAAAATAAAAAATAAAGTTTATTTAAAAATACTTGGGAAATGGGATGTTTCTATGAACTGATTATATATTCTAATTAAGAGATAATTTATAAATGACAATGTAAACACTGATGGTTATAAATATTTCCCAGAATATATTAACAAACCATCATGCCTTTGTGTTAAGTTTTACTTAATAAAATAGTATTTGTTGACTGTTGAGTTTGTAGTGCTTCAAAGTTATCACCATCAGTATTATTTTTAATTATTAGAGTGTATAGGAAGTTTATTGTCTTTTATGTCTATTATCTGATTTAATTAAGGTTTAACTATAATGAAATATACCTACAGAGAGTCTCTGATTTTCAAATCCCCAACTCAGTGATTTAGTAACTTTAAGAAAAGATGTTCCAAACAGTTTATTAGTTAATCATATCAGGATTCTAAAATTTCAAGTATTGCTTTTAAAAGTTCATTAAATTTGTAGCTTCCTAATAAGATTTATACACAATAAAATGGCTATTTATCTGTATTAATTATAAATTGGCATTAAAAGCATGCTTTGTTCACTTTTAAGAATTACGTATCTTTCAAAGAAAGGTAGAGGCATTTTAAAAAAAAATAGTTTGAAATGGAAGTTAGTAAACTCTCCAGTGCTGATTTCCTGAGCTGATTTGCTGGGCATCATCAGGGAATGATATTCTACACATGAACAGACTGCCCATAAAACAGAAGCTTACTTAACTAATCACTCTAAGTTTTAAGTTTATTATTTATAGTTATATTCTAAAATGGATTATACTTTCCCTGGTTATCTTAAATAATACCCTAAATATAATTTAACTTTTCTATCATCTCAGGATCCTAAAATACCATGGTGCCCTAAGGGCTACTGAAGTGTGTGAAGGACGTGCTTCCACTCAAAAAGGCCCAGTGGATTGCACTGAAAAAGTGAAAAGGAGGTGGAAATTCTATCATGAGTTACACTAGGTCTATTCTGGCTTAAAATCATTGTTTGATCACTAAACCCTTCTCATATAATCTGATGCCTAATATTACATTAGACTGTATGAATGATTTCTTCTTTCAAATGAATTAGTTATTCCTGAACTCAGTGGCAGCAGTGAGTTCCTCAAAGCCTTTTTTTTCTACCTACTTTCAAGTTCAAGGTTATGTTCACAATAGTTTAGCTATGCTAAAGTTTCCTGTTGTATCTCTAAAATAAAATCACAGATGTAAATGCAATGTGAAATGTTCCATGACTACACATGGCATAATCAACATTATGTTGGCATAATTGTACCTGTGTAAATGAAAATTCTTGCTTAACATTTTTGAAGTGAGCAGTCATAGCATTAATTCGATCTTCATAGTCACGTAGCTGATCTTGCAAGCTTGACCTTTCCTCCTGCAGCTTTGACAACTGTAAATAATACGTGCGGTAATTTAGAGATTACTGTAGGAAAATTAGCACTACATTAAGACAATAGAAATCTCTCAGATTTCTCAGAAATCTCTCAGGGACCACTGCTAAGATGCAATTTTCATACAGCAGTACTTTAAGGGAAAAAATGATATTTTATTCCATAATTAAACCACAAGATCTCTAGAGCAAACCAGAGCATAATAACAGATATAACAAAAACACAGAACATGAACCATAAATTTGATAAGTAGTGGGATATACTTATATATATACAGGTATAATAGCTCCTCCCCGAACTCCTATGCAAAACCAACAGATTTAGGGCAAGCTGGACAGAACAGAACAACTCTCATGTGCTTAGACCCTTATTGTTAATAATTGAATTAGAACCCTGAGTAGAAACAAAACAATGCAAATGCATAACAAACAAACAAAAAAAAAACTTTAGGAAATTACAAGATAGATTCTCAGGACAATTAGAATATATCACCCCTCAAAGCAATACAAAAACTCAACAAAACAAAAAAATATCCTTTTTTATAGTCTTGATCTGTGGTTCCCAAAGTTGGGGCTACAACCCAGGAGGTATACAACAAAATCCACAATATTTGAATTTTTAAATAAGGAAGAAAGAAAATAAATACTAATGTACTGTATGTTATATCCTATATTTTATTAAACATACTAAGTAACATTAAATATGTATTTTTTGCTTTTTATTTCATTTCAGTTTTACTTTTTTTTTTAAGATTTTATTTATTTATCTGACAGAGAGAGAGACACAGGGAGAGAGGGAACACAAGCAGGGGGAGTGGGAGAGGGAGAAGCAGGCTTCCTGCTGAGCATGGAGCTGGATGTGGGGCTCGATCCCAGGACCCTGGGATCATGACCCGAGCCGAAGGCAGACACTTAACAACTGAGCCACCCAGGCACCCCCAGTTTTACTTTTAATTCCCTCTTTTATTTACTTTGTTGTTCTTTTTTATTTAAGATTATTTATTTATTTATTTGAGAGAGAAAGAGAGAGAGCATGAGAGGGGGGAGGGTCAGAGGGAGAAGAAGATTCCCCGCCCAGCAGGGAGCCCGATGTGGGACTCGATCCCGGAACTCCAGGATCATGACCTGACCCGAAGGCAGTTGTTTAAGCAACTGAGCCACCCAGGTGCCCCTGTTGTTCTTTTTTAAATTTATTAAGAGCAGTTCTTAATTTCCTTACTTTTTGTCACATGGATTACAATGGACTAAATGTTTGTGTCACCCTCAAATTCATATGTTGAGGCCCTTACCCACATGTGATGGTATGTGGGGGTGGGCCTTTGGGAGGTAAATAGGTTTAAATTAGGACCTGAAGGTAGGACCCTCATGATGGAATTAGTGTCCTTATAAAAACGAGAGACCAGAGCTTTCTTTCTCTCTGCCATGTGAGAACAAAGTGAGAAGGCAGCCATGTGCAAGCCAGGAACAGGGCTCTCACTAGAACCCAACCACGCTTCCACCCTGATCTCAACTTCTAGCCTTTCAGAACCTTGAAAAATGAATGTCTCGTTTTTAACTCTTAAAACTCAGTCTATGGTATTTTGTTATAGCAACCCAAGCCAACTAAGGCATTGATTTAAAAATGAAGGCATTTAAGCCTGTAAGTTTTCTCTAAGTAAGATTTTTGCTATTTCCAATGAATATAGGTGTGAAGCACTCTCTTTTTATTGTTTTCTAAAAGCTGACTTTCCCTTTCAATTTCTCTATGATAGAAGCGCTATCCAGGAATATATATCTGAGAAATTGGCCTAAGTATTTAAGACGGATGTCTTAGTCAGCTCAGGCTGCCATAACAAAATGTCATAGACTGTGTGGCTTAAAGATCAGAAATTTATTTCTCATAGTTCTGGGGGCTGGGAAGTCCAGGACTGAGGTGCTAGCCAATTTGGTTCTTGTGAAATCTCTCTTCCTGACTTACAGACAGTGCCTTCTAGCTGCATACTCAAATGGTGGAGAGAGAGAGAGTTCTGGTCTCTCTTCCGCTTCATATACAGATACTAATCGCATCATGGGAGCCACATTCTCATGACCTCATCTAAGCCTAATTACCTCCCAAAGGCCCCATTACCAAATTCCATCAATTGGAGATTAGGGCTTCAATATATGAATGGGGGAGGGAGATATTAGTCCATAACAATGGAGGATAATTTTTAAAATTATTTATTACAAATGCTATTGGTTATGATTAAGAGTGTGGCCTATAAAATTCCTACCACTCATTTCTTTAATTGTGGTAAATATTCATAACCTACTTTTTATCATTTTAACCGTTTTTCAGTATACATTAAGAGTGGCATTAAGTACATTCATGTGTTGTGCAACCACTATCACCATCCACCTGAAAATTTTCATCTTCCCAAACTGAAACTCTGCCCATTAAACCCTAACTCTCCAGTCCCCTTCCCCCCAGCCCCTGGAAATTGCCATTCTACTTATATCTTTATGAATTTGACTACTCTAGGTATGTCATGTAAGTGGAACCATACAGTGTTTTATGTCCACCTTATTTCACTTCATATAATGTGTTTAAGGTTTATCATTCATTTTTAGTGCATTAAGGATTTTGTTCTGATATAGTAAATGATCCACCTTTGTAAATATTTTACAGACATATTCTTTAAAGTGTTTATTTAAGGGATATATATACTCTCTCTGTTTTTATTTTTATTGTATTATTCATAACTCTATATCCTTATTTTTGTCTATTAGAATTGTCCAGTTCTGAGGAGGTCAATATTGAAGTATCCTACTACAACTGTATTTTTTTGTCAAAATCTACTTGTATTTATAATAGCTTTTCCTTTTATGTACTTAGTTATTGCATTGTTTGGTACATACAGCTTTATGACTTTTATTTTCTTCATCAGTTATAACTTTTATGATTGCATAATGAACCCAGAGCAAAAGCATCTGTTTTAATGAAAGCATAATGATTAACTCTCCACAAGCTGATAATTCCTTCCTCACAGAATTCCCAGACAATATTTTCTGCCTCTTTTAAATATAAAAGGTCATGCAAGGACCACCAGATACTTACTGAAAACTTACATCATGTGAGGGATATCAAGATAAACAAACAAACAAAAAGATCCCAGAGGAAACATAACTCAAGACACAAAAAAGAACTAAACACACACACACACACACACACACACACACTCAGCCAGACTGTAATTGATATTGTACTCCTAAAACAAGACCATACGCTACAAAAAAGCAACAAGCAAATAACCTGAAAATTAAAAATATGGTTGATAGAGCTGCAATGTAAAAATGACACAAAACCCTAAAAGCTTCCAGAGATTAAAACTATAACCTACAAAGAAATGGAAATCATTCTAATATGAGATTACTCACCAACATCACTACTGGAAGATAATACTTTGCAAATTCTGTGGAAAAAAAAAATTTTTTTTTAAAGATTTTATTTATTTATTTGAGAGAGAGAATGAGATAGAGAGAGCATGAGAGGGGGGAGGGTCAGAGGGAGAAGCAGACTCCCTGCTGAGCAGGGAGCCCGATGCGGGACTTGATCCAGGGACTCCAGGATCATGACCTGAGCCGAAGGCAGTCGCTTAACCAACTGAGCCACCCAGGCACCCGGAAAAAATATTTTTAACCTAGAATATTCTACCCAGCCAAAACTATCAAATGTGAGATTAAATAAAAAACATTTTCAGTTCGGAGTTTTCCTCCTATACACCCTTCTCAGGGACACCCAAGAAAGTATTTCATCAAAACAAGGAAATAACCCAAGAAAGAAGATATGTGATCTAGGAAATAGAGCATCAATGCAGTAAAGGAATAAAGGAAATACTCAAGTTAACAGTTGGAAAATAGGCTTGTGGAAAAAAATCCATATTAAAAAATACAGGACTCTAGAAGGAAGGAGTGGAGGGAGAAAGAAGGTATCTTGAAGATCTAATACTATGACTTAAAGAATATAAACTTAAAGCAGGCAATGCAAGAAATTAATTGGCAACTAAGGATGCAATGAATCAAAAGCACAGTACTACGGACCCTTCTTGAAACAACTACTTAAGGATAGAACCCAACCAGTCAAAAGACGAATTAAAGTGAAAAATCCAAGAAAAGGTAAACTGAGTAAAAGTGGCTGCATTAAGGACCATTAAATCAGTTTAAATATAAAACTAAGACTAAACACTTGTAGTAAATTAAGGACACTGGACAGAATGAAAATAAAATAAACCTTGATAATATAAAAATAATAAAACTACTATTTTTTAATGGGGTAAAAGGTGGTAGAAAGAAGTGTGAGAGTTAATTTCTTTGTTTTAAAAATGAAAAATGAGGGGCGCCTAGGTGGCTCAGTTGGTTAAGCGACTGCCTTCGGCTCAGGTCATGATCCTGGAGTCCCGGGATCGAGTCCCGCATCGGGCTCTCTGCTCAGCAGGGGGTCTGCTTCTCCCTCTGACCCTCTTCCCTCTCGTCCTCTCTGTCTCTCATTCTCTCTCTCTCAAATAAATAAATAAAATCTTTAAAAAAAGAATAAAAAAAATTAAAATGAAAAATGAAAGATCAGGGAATCAACCCATACTGTCAACAAATGAAACAAAACATTTTTTAAACAATAATTTAACCATTTCATTTTTTTCTTATAGTTTTTCCTAATGTTAAGAAAATTTTTTAGCAATCATTATCTGTTGTAATCAAGTAATATTTATTTGAAATTCAACAATCCCTCTCTTTTGTCTCTTAAGTAAAATTAGATTATTTTTATTAAATAAAAATTGTTATGTTAAAAACAGCACATATAGTAGGATTCCATTCTTACAATACTTCTGTTTGTCTTTTCTATCTACATATCTGTAGATAATGATGTCTGGAATATTCGTTTAAAGTCATGACAGTCACACTTCTATAGTCAACAGTAGGTATTTCGAGGAGGGAATACTCTTTTATTTTATACCCTTCTGTTCTGTTTGAATGGTTTAAACTTACCGGAGTTGCTTTTTTAATGCCACTTAAAGTGAAGTGATTACGAACCCTCACTCTTCTTTCTATTGCTCTATAATATTTTTTAAATAGCTAATATAGGGGCGCCTGGGTGGCTCAGTCGTTAAGCGTCTGCCTTTGGCTCAGGTCATGATCCCAGGGTCCTGGGATCGAGTCCCACATCGGGCTCCCTGCTCCACGGGAAGCCTGCTTCTCCCTCTCCCACTCCCCCTGCTTCTGTTCCTGCTTTCGCTATCTCTCTCTGTCAAATAAATAAATAAAATCTTTAAAAAAAATTATTAAACTTTAAAAAAAATAGCTAATATAATTACTATGTATATAAAATTATATGAGACAAATATTATGGTAATAATACCAAAAACTAACATTTGAATGGAAGTTTAACCTATATTAATGTGCTTAGAGCTGTTTAAGGATCCTTTGAAATAATTATTTTATTTATTTCCAGTTTATAGAAGAAACAGGCTCACTCATGGTAATTAGGATCTAAACCCAGGGCTGGATACTTCTTAATATTATTATTCCTCAGTACTCAGTGCTAAATCTCTTATTTTCCCTAATGTAGCCCTTCATTAAAACAAACAAAAAACTGCAGCCATCTAATTTAGACATGAATAAATATGTCAGAGTATTTTGAAAAAAACTTCAAAAAACAGTGAAGGATTTTCATTTTCATTTTTCAGAGGAAAGAAAACCTTCTCTTCCATTCTATAAAGTAATGTAATCATCATCCGTTCTTCTTGGACCCTCTTCTCCACAACACACTGCCATGTGATAGAACTTTAGACTGACTGTTAAAGGTTTTTAAAAGTTTTCTGAGCCGGTTGCAATTTTATTTTTAACAACTATTATGCATTGGTTGCAAGCTGGTGTAAAATATTCCTTACAACGTAAAATATTTTGTATCACTCTGTGCCAACATTCTCACTTTGAAAAGCTGCAAACTGTACATTTTACATTCTTACTAGAACGTTCCTCTTGAAAACATTTCTTCGAGTCACTTTCAACTTTAAATGTCATAGGCAGAAACTCAAAAAGAAATGTCAACCAGAACGTGTTTTGTTTATAAACATCCGCTAACAACTGTTGCTACGAACACCGCAGAAGTCCCTTTGCAAGCCGCTCTTAATTCTGAGGAAGGAAAAGTGGACCCGGGAATCAGCCTTTCCTCTCCTGCCCACGAGGCTGGAAATGAGTACGTGGAGCAGAAGAGGGCAGAGTAACGACTCAGGCTTTATGTCCTGAATATTAATTATCGTTTCAATTTATATTTTATAATGCTTAGCCAAGTTCCGAAAAGGGCGGGCAGGTGAGGGAGGAAGAAGATGGTGCGGGTGAGAGAGAAGAGATGAAACTCGGGAAGGAAAGGGGAGAAATAAAAGGGTTGGGGTATTCTGCCAACCAGAAGCTTCTTCCTCTTTACCCCGCCTTCTTCGCCCGATCCTTACCTGATCTTCCAGTATCTTGTTCTCCTCATTTGCCACCGGGATAGCAAACCCATCGTCCCAATGCAGCTCCGCCAAGAATTCGCTACTCATGATGGCAAACGAGAGGGGACCTCTGACAGGCTGTGGAGGAAAGATCCGCTTGCTCGTCGAGCCCGGCAGCAGCACGCGAGGCAATCCCCCGCACCCGCCAAGCTCCCCTGTAATTACCACCGCAGCCCTAGCAACCGTCCCGCGCCCTTAGTTACCAAACAGGAAGTGCTCGTGCCGCAAGGCAAAACTTCCGGTTGAGAACTCGGTCCCTAGATCACGAGCAGCTTTTCCTTTTTGAGTTCCCAGGGAAGCGAAGCACTTACTCGCTCGGGTTGCCAGGCGCCAGCATAACTTTCCCTCAAATTGGGGTCGTCCCCCCGGAGCGCTCCTGGAGGGTGTAAAGTCGGTGGCGCCTGCGGTCTCCAGGCCACACGGGGTACGGGAATGGCATTGCACCACGCAACTGCCGGATCGCGCGCAGATGAGAGCTAAAGAAAACCGTAAAGCCGACTTTCAAGTGGTGTTTGTTGAGTTTCCTCCGTAGGTGAAATCTCGTAGGCTGAAGTAGACTGGCATTTCCGAAGCACAGTTCATCCCTTAGAATCGCTGATGTGTGTTTCGATCTTTGTGTTAATCTCCTGGTCTTCTTCACAATGCTCGTCTGCCCTTTGCAGCGCGTCCTAGCTAACCGCGGACGAGGACTGCGCAGAGATGGCAAACTTGGGGCGCAGAGTTTGGTGGTCTCTCCCTCGCCACTCCTACACCTTATTTTTCTCTTTACATTTTCATTTGTTAACATTCACAAATCTTCTCTTTCCCACAGAAATCTGTAATTCTTCCTAATCTCGAAAAAGGAAACACTGAGCCCACATTATCATGAAGGCATTATTTGGCTGAAGAGGCGCCCCCTTTAGACTGGCAAGCACTTCACCAATTCAGTAATTTGAATTACCTACTTCGCACTGGTAGACATTAGAGTTTACAGCTTCTGTTCTATAGCATCTCAGAACTGGAAAGAATAAAACAATCAGCTAATCTAATCATTTCATCTTCCAGATTAAGAAAACTGAGGCTCCCTAAAGTGAAGCGATTAAAGTCGCAGCACTTGAACCAGGATACAGATCTCCTACTACAAACTATACTGTCATGAGAAATGTTCTTGGCTGAAATACCTCTACTACAGCATCATGAGCTTAAATTAATTTTGCTTATCCAATAAGCAACTGTCTGTAGCCTTTTTGCCCTTTTGAATTTTATCTTACCATTATTTTGTTACACTTTTTATTATAAAAAGTTTAAATATAAAAAAGAATAAAGGGGGGGCGAGATGTGGGAAAAAAGAATAGAGCAGGGTATGATGAATGCCCACATACTCATTATCTTGATTTAACATATTTTGCCACATTCACTTCATCTATATTTTTTGCTGAAGCATTTTAAAGAAAATCGCAGACCTCATGACATTTCATCCCCAACTATTTGAGCATGCATCACTAATGTTTAACAGTCAATATTTTCTAACATAAATACAGTATAATTATCACATCTATCAAAACTAACAATATCAAAATTCTTGAATATCATTTCATAACCATTTCAATTGTCCTGAAAATGTCTTTTTACCATTGGTTTGTTACTATACTTTTGAAATCTTGTAGTTTTATCTCCTTGTGCTTACATGGTTTTCCATATATTTAATCTTATGGACTGTTTCTCTAGTCTCAAAGAGTCTCAAAGACTAAAATTAGCTTTTTGTATTCTTAAAAGCATTTATCTTTTATCTTCTATCACCATAGAAATATTTTATACATACTTTATAGATGTATTAAATGTAGCATATGTGATATATATTATTTCACTGAATGACATTACTCAGATGCAATGAAATTTTATTATTCTTAGAAACAACTTTTATACATTTGACTATCTAAGTATATTCCATGCATCAAAGTGTAATGAACACATTCCTTCACTGAAATACTATATTTATCGATATATACAACTACCATCTTTAGAAAGAATTTTTATATGTGTGCCTTTATGGAGTATATTAAATGCAGCACAGTGTGGCGAAACATCATTCACTGTAAATAACACTGTACTTATTCACATATACAACATTCTTAGAAATATCTTCTATCGGGGGTAGAATTAGTACAGCATTTTATCCCTCACTTCTGCAATGCCTAAATTCCCGAGGTGGTGGAGGAGAAAGACAGCTTGTAGGGGGGATTTCAACCTGTGTGGAATAATGGAAATTTAGAGCTTAAATAACCTTATAAAAGATGATCTTTTATTTTATAATAGTTTAGTCATTCCTACTAATGAAAATGTTAGTATCCAGCACATATTGAGATGGCATATAGTTATTTATACTGGAGATTTGTTATGGCAATGCTGCTTCCTAAAATTATTAGTGTTGTTCTGCCCATATGTCTTAAACATTCTTTTCTAATTTCTCATCCCCATTACTAATGTGAATACTGAGGCAGCTGCCTCAGCCTGTGCCAATCTGCTGATCCACCCTTCTGTGTTAGCTGGAGCTGCCAAATCCATGACTGCAGCTGTCTTTGCTATGTTCTCCTGCAGGCCCCAAGGACATCAGAAGTCTGGCAGACAAATCCATGCAAAGAGTCCCATTCCTCATGTCTCATGGATTCTATTTCCTGAATTTCAGGAATTTTGTACAATGCTGAATTTTGTACAAAATGTCCATACATTCTCCTAATTCTACATTTCTGCCTTAAAACGATATTCCTGCTTCTCCACCTCATCACCACAGCATTCCATATCATCCAGTTGCCACTTTTAGAATCCCACTATTATAACTCGACTTGAATTTACTCAGATCTAGACTTGGAAACAAAACCCGAAGTTTTACAAGCCTTGTTGCTGACCATGAAATACTCAATTTAATCCCAAAACGCTAAGGTAGATGTTACTCTTTTTTTTTTAAAGATTTTATTTATTTATTTGAGAGAGAGAGAATGAGAGAGAACACATGAGAGAGGGGAGGGTCAGAGGGAGAAGCAGACTCCCTGCCGAGCAGGGAGCCCGATGTGGGACTCGATCCAGGGACTCCAGGATCATGACCTGAGCCGAAGGCAGTCGCTCAACCAACTGAGCCACCCAGGCACCCTAGATGTTACTCTTTTTAACTACTGCATTCCCAAGTAGATAAACTTCATCCAAATCAGATTTTTCAGGTTAAAATATGAAGAGGTTTATGGTTTTGCAAAAATAATGTGATATTTGTAAAAAAAAAAAAAGAAAGAAAAAGAAAAATACATATATGTATAAAGAAAAAGGAAAAGATATCTTTCACCTCCCACTAATCTCATTCCCAAGAGTTTGCCACTGTTTGGCATGTGTCCTACCAGTATTTTTTTAAGTAAAGCTATATATACATAGATATATTAATTTTTCCCATAGAAATAGAATCATATTATAAATATTCTTTTGCAGATTCATTTTATCACTTAACAATAGTGGCCATGTTTCATATCAGTACATTAGATCTTTGGTCTTTTAATGGCAGCTTAAACTTCAGTATTATCCATCAATTTTAACTTTTTAAACAATGCTACAATGAACATTTTTATAATACTGTATTTCATCAAGTCTGGGGTCTACTTATTCTCACATCTGAATATCTCTAAAGTTGGGATACATATTTCAATCAGTAGTGTTTTTGATTTGGTGAATAAGAGATAACCTTGCACACATATGTGTTTCTGCATGACCTATTCTTAGAAGTAAAATTAATGGAAAACATATATAAGCAATTTTATTTTGATAGATACTACTGAATTCTTTGAAAATGTCTTTATATACCAACAGAATATGGCAGTATCCTTACATACTCTACATATTATGAAGTAATATTTTATAACCTAAAGAGAAAAATATGGTATCTTGTTGTTTATTGCCAATTTTTAAATTATGAGACTGAGCATCACATTTCTTCTGCTAAGAATTTATCATATCCTAAGACAAGTACCATATGATTTCATTCATATATGGAATTTAAGAAACAAATGAACAAAGAAAAAAAAGAGACAAACAAGAAAAGACTCTTAACGATAGAGAGCAAACAGATGGTTACCAGAGGGGACGTGGGTGGGAGATAGTTAAAACAGGTCAAGAGAATGAAGAGTACACTTATCATGATGAGCACTGAGTGATGTTCAGAATTAGTGAATCACTATATTGTACCCCTGAAACTAACATAACACTGTACATTAATTATATTGGAATTTTTAAAAATAAAAATAAATAAATAAAATGTATCATATCCTTTGCCCATCCATCTCATTAGGTTGTCTCTTCTTTTTGAACTTTAACAGTGCTTTCTATTTTATGGACAGTGTTCTTTGTGCATGCTTGTGTGTGACATGTGTGTATGAACAGTATTTTTCTCCCAATCTGTTTTTTGGGGGTTTTAAAACTTTGTTTTTGGTATATTTTGCCATACCACCTCAGAAACTGCTCTTGTTGCCATTAGTATGCTTCATACTCCAATGGGAAGTTTAGCATCAACTCGCCAGATCTATGCACTGCATTGAGCTCAGCTATTCCTTCCCTCTTTTTTTCTCATGGCTTTTTAGGACTATCAGTTTCCCGGTAACCTTCTCAGTCTCATTTGTTGCTTTATTTTGTCCTGTTTGGCTTCTTAATATTGGTATTCTTCAAGACCCAAAGCTTGCCTCTCTACTCTTCTCTTCTTACACTTGCTTCCTAGGTGATCATATCCATTTTCATGGCTTTAAGTACCATGGACTTCTTTAACAACTCCCCTTAGTATTTCTGTATCCCAGATCTCTCTTCTACACTAAACATATGTCCAACCGCCTATCTGACAGTTCCACTGAGATGTGTCCTAGATGAGATGCCTCAAACCTAATACAAAGGTGCAAGACAGAATTCTTGATTTCATCCCACACATATTTCAAACCTCTTTCTCAGTCTTTCCTAGCACAGTAGAACCAAAGCCATATATCCAGTGTACAAAATCAAATCCTCGCTGTCATTACTGACTCCTTCCTCTTCCTCACCTTCCACCTCCAATACATCACTATGACATCTCACTTCTACCCTCAAGTCTATATTGATTCTACTTCTCTCCATCTTCACTGCCATCACTCCAATTTGGACTATCATCATTTCTCACTGCACTAATGCAGCTGTGTCCTCAATATATCCAGTCCTTTCTTCAATGTTCTTTTTCTATTCCAGCATCCAATCCAGCATACCACATTGCATTTTGTTGTAATGTCTCCTTAGTCTCCCCTGGTCTGTGACAAGTTCTCAGTTTTTTCTTGTTTTTCATGACCTGGACAGAACTGAGAAGTACTGGTCAGGTGTTTTGTAGAATGATATTTGGTTTATCTGATGGTTTTCTCATACTTAGGACAGAGTAATGGGTTTTAGGAAAGAAACCCATAGAGGTGAAGTGCACTTCTCATCAAATCCTATCAGTGAGTACATGTTCTCATGACATCACTGGTGATTTTCATCTTGATCATTTTGTTAAAGTAGCATTTGCCAGGTTTCTTTTTTTTTTAATTAAAATATAATTAGCATACAGTGTTATATTAGTTTCAGGTGTACAGTGTAATGATTCAACGATTCTGTATATTACTCAGTGCTCATCAAGACAAGCATACTCTTGGTTCCCTTTATCTATTTCACCCCACT